AAAAGATAGTATTGCCATTATTACATAATTAAGGTTTCAAGAAGAACATGACATTCTTTGGGTCAGTCTGGCTTCAGCTTCCCTGAGAGTTTACAAAAGCTACTCTGAGGAAGTTCATGGCTAAGGTTGTAACTGAGTTCTGCTAACCAGAAGACTTACCTCAGGACATCTGGCAGGGTTTCAGTGTCGACTGGGCAACTGATGTCTCGCAGAAATATGGGCAGAAGGAGCAAATAGCATTTTCTGATTATCAGAGCTATGATGAATCAAACTCCAGCTTTTGGAGTAGGTCAAAACAGAATACTTATGTGGGTTGATAAAAATATCTACTTGTATGTGAAGTGAATATGGGTTGGAAAACTTTACCATGGGTATTATATATGGTGAAGACTAGCCTGTATATGACTGAGCACAGTTTTAACCCGGGTCTTGAAGGCAGTCCTGCACCTGTCAGTTGAATGATGCTCAGACCTGCTCTCTAGTGCCTAGCTCTATTGGGCCTTTGGTGTGTTGAGCTGTTTTTGTCTACTAACTCATTTTGGTGGAGCACATTCTTTGGTAGGTTTTAAAGAAAGTATCTGTGGCGATAAAATTTTGAGACCTTGCATGTCTATATTTTATTGATACTTGATAGAATTTTTAGTATTTATTTATTGTAACAGTATTAAACCCAGGGACTTTGTGCATGCTAGGCAAGCACTCTACCACTGAGCTATACCCTCGGCCCGTCTCATTTTTGAGACGGGCTTTCTAAGTTGCACTGAGCAATTCAGTGAGACCTTGTCTCTAAATAAAATTCAAAAATAGGGCTGGCGATATGGCTCAGTGGTCAAGTGCCTCTGAGTTCAATCCCCGGTTCTTTTTTTTTTTTTTTTTTTTAAAGGGAAATCTTTCCATCTTCTAAGTTTCTCTTCAGTTTGTTTCTTTAATGTTCTGTAGTTTTTAGTTTTCATTGTAGAGGTCTTTCACCTCTTTTGTTAGATGAGTCCCAAATATTTTATTATTCTTTTTCAAGGCTATTGTGAATGGGATAGCTTCCCCAATTTCTTTTTCGGTTGAGTCATCATTGATGTATAGGAACACGATTTATGAGTGTTAATTTATCCTGCTATTTTGCTGAATTCATTTATGAGTTCTAGAAGTTTTCTGGTGGATTTTTTTGGTCTTCTAAATATAGAATCATGTTGGCAAAAAGGGATAGTTTGAATTCTTTTCCTATTGGTATCCTGTTAATTTTTTTCTTTTGCCCAATTGTTCTGGCTTATCCTTAACTCACTCACTTTATTTATTTATTTATATTTAATTTTACTTTGAAACAAGGTCTTCCTAAGTTGCTGAGGCTGGCATTGAATTTGTGATTTACCTGTCTTAGCCTCCTGCGAATGAATTTTTTAAAGAAATATTTTTGATCCATGATTGATTGAAGCCATGGGTAGTAGAACCTGTGGATATGGAGAGCTGAGCATATCTAAATTTTAGTTTTTTAGGAATAGGCTCTTTTAAGCCCACTTAGAAGGGCATCTGTATGCTGGACACTGCAAAGCATTTCATGTCTGTATGTTCACAACAACCTTGTGAGATAGGTGAGTTTATTTTCAGTGTTAGCTTTAGAGAGCTCATCCAAAATACAATTCAGAAGTATCTTAGAACTTTTTAAAAACTACTTTTTAAAGAAGTGTCCATACTGATTACATCAGAATCTGTGGGAAGATGAAGGTAGATATTGGCATTTTTGAAAGCACTTCATGTGATTTGAATGTCCTACTAGGTTTAAGAACCACTGCACTTAACATCCTGCCTGCTATACAAATAATAGAATGGAAGTTAAATCCAAGGCTGCTCATTTTGCTCTAGTTTAATTAATTGGCCAAAATGGCCAGGGAATGTATTCAACCAAGGCAGCAGTGACCAGCTTACCCTGGTTTACCCAGGACCTTTCCAGTTTAGCACTGGAGGTCCTATGTCTTAGGAAACCCCTCAGTCATTTTCCTGGATGGATTGGATGGTGAGCCTACAAAGCAGTTATTTATGGAATTTATCTGTAAAAACATTTTATTCTTTAAACATCCTATATGTGTTTCTAAAAATCAAATAGTATAACAGAAGTGGCTCACCGTGTATTTACTGACCTGTTTTCAAGTTTGCTTATTTTTTGTCTTGCAGTTCAAATCTACTAAGAGCTCCTCTAGTTTTTTCATCTTAGCTATTGTACTTTTAATTAACTTCCGATTTGTTCTTTTTATAAAACAATTTCTCATTGTTAATACAAAGAGATGCATGTTTATCTTTGTTCTCTATTTGATAAAATGTTGTATCTTCCTTCAAGTTGTTAATCTGACTTTCATTTAGTTCTGCGAATGTTTATAATGGTCAGTCTTTCTGATACATCTGATGTCTAGTTACTGTGACAGGCCTTCAGGGTGCCGCTTTTCTATTGGCATTTGGGTCATATTTTCCTGTTTTTTTTCCATGCCTCTTTGTATGGCAAGTCAACATTTAACCTCAATAAGAAACTGATCAACTATCTTCCAAAGTAGTTACTCCATTTTTCTTTCACTTGTATATGAGTGATCTAATGGCTTCACATGTCTTTTCCAACATTATAGTAGATATGAAATATTATATTGATATGGTTCTGCTTTTTTTCCCCCAGAGAACCTAAGATGCTAGTCTTGTGTAAATTTCTAATTTTGATGAGGTGCAGTTCTTTTTTTAATTTCCTTTCATGGTAAATTCTTTCTGTGACCTAACAAGTCATTTTTACTTGCCTCCAAATCCAAAATACTCTCCTATGATTTTTTTCTAGTAGTCTGTTTCTGAGTTTTACATTTAGATCTATGGCCCATCTCCATTTTTATGGTGTGTATATGTCTGTCTCTGTGTGTGTGTGTGTAGATGAGATGGGGTCAGGGCTTTTTTAGATATCTAGTTGTTCAACAAATATGGGTATGCTTTCCCCATTGAATTAACTTGGCCCCTTACTGAAAAACTATAAATATAGGTCTCTTTCCTAGACTCTTTATTCTAGTCCATTGACATATTCATCTATTCTTATTATAATACCACAGTGTCTTGATTACTGTGGTTTTATAGTCTTGAAAATTAGATATTCCAAGTCTTCCAAACTGTTCAAGATTGCTTTGGGTACTTTAAGGTCTTTGCACTTTGAAAATTTAAAATCAGCTAGTCTATTTCTTTTTTTCCCCTTTTCTTAAAAAAACAGTGAAATTTTTGTAGTTAATGCATTAAATATACAAATTAAAATTTCTAATTCATGAACATGCTCGCTCCCTGTAGTTAGGCTTTTTGCAAAATGAAGTTTTAAAAAGGGTGGGAATGTAGCTCAGAGGCAGTACACTCCTGGCTTCAATCCCCAATATTACACACACACATTGAAGTTTCAAATTAGATCACAAGTTTCTATCAGATCACTAGCATGCCCTGGCTTTGATTCCTATAATGATCTTGCTAAATGCACTTTTTAATTCTGGTTGATCTTGTTAAATATTTTTTTTGTCTTTTACTCCTTTTTTCTCTTCTTCTTACATGAGATTTTCTATGTAAATGGTCTATTATTTATGAACAACTACCCTAGATTTTTCTTAACTGGCTAGAAACTCCAGAATGATGCTGAACAGAAATGCTGAAAGCATATATCTTACTATTTAATCATCATTAGGTGTTTTTCACGGATAGCCTTTACAAGACCAGGGAATTTATATTCTTAGTTTTCTGAGAGGTTTTTGTATTTTAAGCGGGTGCTGAATTTGTCAGATGCTTTTGTAATCATTGAGATGATTGGTTCTGTTGTCATCTAAAATGGTTTTTCTCCTTTACTCTGCTTATGGGTGACTTACACAGATTGGCTCTAAATTTTTTATTGTTTTGGTACAGGGGATGGAACCTAGGGATGCTCTACTGCTGAACTACATCCTCAGCCTTTCTTTTCTTTTAAATTTTTTTTTAATACTTATTTTTTAGTTGTAGTTGTATAGACTTTTATTTGTTTTTATGTGGTGCTGAGAATCGAACCCAGGGCCTCACATGCGCTAGGCAAGCGCTCTACCACTGAGCCACAAACCCAGCCCCTCTTTTTTTTTAAAAAAATTTGAGACAGGTTCTCACTAAATTGCCCAAGCTGGCCTTGAATTGGCATTCTCTGGCCTCAGTCTCTCCAGTAGCTGGGGTCACAATGCATGAACTCAATGTTAAGCCAAACTTGACTTACTAGAATAACTCCTTTTAGTCATGGTGTATTATCACTTTATACACATACTGTTAGAAAAAAAAAGTCCTTAGCAAATTAAACCTATGTTTAGAAATAATTAAAGTCCTTTATAAATGTTTAAGGACTCTTTATTTATTTACTCATGATGGATATTGGGCTGACATGTTTTAAGTTCTGTGTCACATGATATTTCTTAGGAGTCATTTACATATGTTAAGTATCATTTTGTCAAGGGCCTAAGAAATGCAAAAATCAATTGTGTTGAGGTGGTTTTTCCATCATGATAAACATAAACATCTGTCTAATCTATAAAAATTTCACATTCTTTTCTTTTTTTTGCAGTGCTAGGGGATAAACCCAGGGTCTCACACATGCTAGGCAAGAGCTCTACCTTTGAGTTATATTCCTCTTCACATTTTTAAATGAACAAAAAGCTGTAAAAATCCAGGAAAAGAATTAAGATATGAGATGAGTGCTCAAATCCATGTTTTGTTCTTGCCAGCTGTATCCTCTCCATTCCATCCATTTCATAGGAATAGAAAAAAAAGAATTTTGCATTAATGATTAGGTAATTTCACAAAAATTTATGAATTATATAACATAAAACTTTGAAGTTTTTCAAACTTTAGGTATAACGAAATTAAAGACTATCAGAATAGTTGAATGTTCTAATATTTTTCATTATAGGAAAGACAAGAGAAGCATTTCTGTTTAAAAATCTTAAGGGAACACATTCGACACATTTCTAGTTAAAAATACAAAAGTCAGAGGCTAATTTATAAATGTACACTTTAATAATAAAAAATTTACACATTTCAGATGCAATAAAATCTGCCATTTATGCAAAAACAAAAAATTACACAAAAGTTTTTTTTGAGAGAGGGGTACCTGGGATTGAATTCAGGGGCACTCAACCACTAAACCACATCCTGAGCCCTATTTTGTATTTTATTTAGAGACAAGGTCTCACTGAGTTTCTTAGAGGATCATGAGTTCAAAGCCAGCCTCACTGTTGCTGAGGCTGGCTTTGAATTCATGATCTCCTGCCTCAGCCCCCCGAGCTACTGGGATTACAGGCATGCGGCCATTGGACCTGACCACATACTTTCATAGAGATAAATGTCTGAAAGGATAAAATTAAGATGAAAACAGTAATTATTGCTGGGAACAGTCATAGTGAAGGAATGCTAAGTGCTTTCCAGCAATGGTCTGACCAAAAAGCAGCAACTTGCTAAAAAAGCAACAGCAGCATACCAAAAAAAAAAAAAAAAAAAACATACAAAAGAAAAGTGACAAATGAGAAAAACTAATTTGCCACATAGGACAGGCAAAAAAAAAAAGTCTTTTTTTACAATATAAAGGCCTTCAAGCCCATAAAAAAAAGAATGGATATTTCAAAAAGAATAATGAATTGTCCAACCCAATATATTTTTTGCTAACAGCCAAAACAAAAGAATTACAATTCTTTTTACCTGTCAAATATAATAACTGGTGGTGATTCAGTGGCACTCTTACGCTTATTTGGTCTTGGTACAAGAGATTGGTACAGATTTCTGAAGGACAATTTGACTATCCAGTTAACACATAATTCTTTCTAATTAAGATTTCCTTATTAATTGTAAACAGGAGTCTTTAAAAGTAAAGAAATTCAAAGACATACAGATTGATCTCTTACTGCTCCTGTGCATTTAATTTCTTCAAGCACCAGTTAATTAGGAAGGGCAGTTTTCCAGGAAAGCAGAAGGAGGGAATGGAGGGAGGAGTTCTGTTCTTTGGAAATCCTACCCTCCATTACAAGGAATAAAAAGGCACCAGGCTTTGTTTTTTGTTTTGTTTTGTTTGCAAGCAAAGGGATTGAGTATTATATTTTAAAATATATAAATCTCATTTTAGTACTTTCCTATTAAGTGTACTCAAACTTCTTTAATTAGTGATTTAAGATGGTCTAGGTGATACTCTTCTGTGAGGGATTCTGCTTGATGTAAAGCTTTTATTTTCACCAGAATAAGAATTATTTCCTTGACTTCATTCCTGAAAAACAAAACAAAGAAACATTGCCCTCTTTAAAAATGCATCAGGGCTGGGAGTGTAGCTCAGTGGAAGAGTATGTTCTTAGCATGCACAACGTCCTCAGTTCAACTTCCAGATCAAGACCACCACCAATAAAAAGTGAGATATGAAGGCACAGTGATCAACTCAGGACCCACTAATTATTCATTACTCCAAAACAAAAGCTTAACCTTATGTCAGTACCTAATATAGCATGAAATACAGAGATGCTGCCTTCTTCCCCTACAGCCACACACTGCACAGTGACATTTTGATCAATGACGAACTGCTGAAAATTCTATTGCCCAGTGACACTGCAGCCATGATAACATCATATTCAATACATTACTTATGTTTGTGGGGATGCTGGTGTGAACACACCTACTGCACTGCTGCTATATAAAAGTACAGTACATACGATTATGTAGTAACACCTGATGATAATAAACAACTATATTAGTGATTTATGTATTTACTACACTATACTTTTTTTTTTTTTTTTTTTTGGTAGAAGGAAGACGAGAAAGAAGGAGTAAAAGCCCTGATGCATTTTACTAGGGATTGGACCCAGGGGTGCTCTACCACTGAGCTATATCCCTAGCCCTTTCTAAACTTTTAAAAAATTCTGAGACAGGGTCTTGCTGAATTGTCCAACATGGCCTCGCACTTGTGATTCTCCTACTTCAGTCTCCTGAGTAGCTAGGAATACAGGTATGCACCACCACATCGGGCCTATAATACTTTTTAATTATTATTTAAGAGTATATACTTTTTTTTTAAATTTAGAGTAAAACAGTATGCTGTGTTATGTCAGAAGTAGCCTCATATATCTAGTGCTTACTGAATCTCGATTGCATCATTTTCTTCTGTGCTTAACTTGATGGCCCTAGGAGTGATAGACTATAAAATATATATATACACACACACACACACACACACACACACACACACACACACTTACACACCCCTATACACATACACATACATGCACATACCATATAGTCCAGGTGTGTAGCAGCTACACCAACTATATTTGTGTAAGCACACTCTATGATGTTTGTACAACAATAAATCTCTTAAGAATTCATTTCTTGGAACATATCCCTGTTGTTATACTACAGTTTTAATGCCATTATGGTGGAAGCCAGAGTAGGAATATTTACTCCAAGGCATCAGCAAATGTTACAAATTTGGCCTTTTTCATGTAAATTTTTTCAGTTGGCAATTTACCAGAACACTACTGTATCCTGTAAACATTTGATGCTGTGAATGAGACATTCACACCAGAGATCTAGCTACTGTTGGGTAAAAACTAGGATGCACACTTGTATTGAAGGAGTGCTGAATTTTTAAAAATAGTCAAAAAAATTAAAAATACATGGAAATTGTTTTTCAGTGCTGAGGATCAAATCTATGGTCTCTTATGTGGTAAGCAAGCATTCCATCACTGGGCTACTTCCCAGCTCTCATTTTAAATGTTTAATAAGAGGTTTCTGATTTAGAGTTTTGATTCTATGTATTTTTTGGAAATGCTATTTTGGGAAAGATTTTATATTTAAAAATAGGAATATGCATGGGGTGTGATTATAGTGAGCCATTTCAAAGGTAACCATAAAAATATGTACTAATTCTACCAAGTCTCAACAGATTTTTGAGAAGTATAATAAATGTACAAATCTTTGTAAAAATTATACAAAATTTCTAAAAATTGCTGAGCTCATGCAAGATCCTCAAACTATACTTGTGAAAGTTAAGATGAAACATGCCTTACCTGAATTCATCCCCAGACAATTTATGTGCAGACTGCAATAACAACTGAATGAAGTTTTCTAGCTGGGGAATAGATGTCCTTGTAGCACAATTTTCAAACCATTTTTCTGGTAGACATACTACTATCTGTTAATTAAAACACATGGCTGTTTACGATAATGATAATTAGCTAAGGACTCTTGCTAACAATCTCACAGTGATTATGCAAGTTGAGTATTATTCTTCCCTATTATAGTTTGATTCAATAAAAATTTTGGAAAATTTCCCTTATTTTGTGAAAGGTCATATGCCATTTAAAAAATCATTCTTTATTGCTAAGAGCTTAAAACAGACTACTTTTATGAATGTTCTCTAGAAGTGCTTATAATTCTTTCCATACTTGTGTATTCCTGGGATAAAAAATCCACATAAAACATAACTTACAACTAAGAACCGCAATGCCTAGACATAGATACTTTCAGTTAACCTAACTATATTTCATCTAGTACATGATCTACATAAACAAATTAGAGTTAAGGAATCAAGTGAGTGATTCTAAGATATACAGGGTGAAAGAAAAATTATGCTTTGATAGTCTACTAATCTCATACATTGCTTTAAATGTCCATAACAAAATGAATCAATGCAGTGCTATTCAATTGTTCTTTTGGAATAAACAACAACAACAACAACAACAAATGGCATTTTATAATCATCCTCCTGAAGGTAATGCATGGTTTTGGGGAAAGCTTTAGTAAAGTCAGCAAAATATTTAAAAAATAAAAGGATTCATGTGTGGCTCAGTAGCACAGTGCTTGCTTAGCACGAGTGAGGCACTGGGCTTGATCCCCAGTGCTTGGCGAAGGGTGGGGGAAGGGAGGAGATAAGAGAAAAATTAAAATGAACCAAATATTATAATATATGTTCAATAAAAATTCCAAAAAATACCTTCTAAAATAAATATGGATGGTCAGAATTAAATACTTAGTTAAAAAAAAGCAGATGTGTATGCGCTGAGGGTGTAGCCCAGGTGTGGAGCACATGCTTCATGTGTGCGAAGCCCTGGGTTTGAACTCCAGCAGCAATAATAGTAACAACAAAAAATCCTAAAAAACTATGGATGAGGAAAAAGATTTATTGTATTCCTTAATGACCTTCTTCAATTACTGAGAAAAAAAGGCAGACACTTAGTTAACTGAAAAAGGCCAAAGGTCCTATAAAATTTTACGCAAACTACTTTTTTCAAAAATTTCAAAACTGGTTTGGAATTTAATACCATTTGTACTTGCTTGCCCCATATTTTGTATCACAAGTATCAATAAAATTCTCATGTAACTAAGAAGTTCGTATATAAATGAGAATAGGACTTAAACCCACATTTTGTTGATCTGCTTTTCTAGCCACATATTATGGATGTTCTATAAACATGTTTTGTCTTCTCTACAATCTTTATGTTCAAAGAGGACTCTCTAAATCTGAAACAAAGTACAGATGATAATTTAAATTTTTGATATGTAATGTTCAAATCTATACCCAATATGAAAACTACAGTCAGAAAAATCATGGTTGGCTAGGAAGTGGTACATCATTTCATATGTATTTTTTTTTTTAGAAATTATAAAGTATATATTTTCTCATATACTTAAAAATTCTTCTACTACAGGCTTATCTTTTTGGACAGACCAAGATGTTTTGGGGGACATTTAGGTAGTTTCCAACTGTCTTCTATTATAAGTAATGCTACAACAATATTCTTTACATTTAAAATATCTGTATGTACATCTCTGATTTTTGACTTAAGATAAATTCTTAGAAGTCAAAGGTATGAACTTTGAAAGTTTTGTACCCATCATGCCAAAATATTCTCCAGTAGGCCTGTGTCCCTTCTCCCACAGTGTGGGAATCCACTGTGCTATGCACTCTTGTCACAGTGCTCTTGCTGGCACTATTGTTTCCCATGCTTATGCCAACACTGGGAATTACAGACAGAATAACAGCAAAAACATGGATCTCCACACATTTTTCTTTTTGTAGTACTGGCAATTGTTTCATGCATGTGAGGCAAGTGCTCCACCATTAAGCTACAACTCCAACCCTATTTAAAATAAAATTTTATGTTGAGACAGGGTCTCCCTGAATTGCCAAGGCTGGCCTTGAACTTGTGGTCTTTCTGCCTCAGCTCCAGAGCACCTGAGATTACAGTTGTATACCTTAGCACCTGGCTGTAAACAACTTCTAAAAAAATTGTCTTTACTATATAATAATTTTCATTTTTCTGATTATTATACTATAATCTTTCTCATGTATTTGTACATTATTTTTACATATTCTTTCTTGGTAACTTGATTTGCGTATTTTTGGTCATTTTTAATAAGAACATCTGAATTGTTTATTGATTTGCAAAGGGATTTTTTAAATTTAACATAGATTTTAATCCTTGTTATGTGTTACAACTTCTTTCCTACTTTCTCAACTTCCTGTCTTCAAAAATAAACAACAGGAGAAAGAATAGTATAGTGAGACCAGTGAACATAGTCTCCAGTTATCAATTAATCAATTAATTATCAAATTAATTTTGTATCACAAGTATCAATAAAATTTATTTAGAGAGTCCCCTTTGAACATAAAGATTGTGAAGTAGAGAAGACAAAATATGTTTATAGAACATTCTTTCCATAATATGTGGCTAGAAAAGCAGATCAACAATTATCAACAATTAACAATTAATCAAACAATTATCAATTAATCTCAATGAATTTTTTTGATCCACTTAAGGTTTAGATTTTTGTCAAATCTATTGCTTTTTGTTATCATTTCTTCATTTGTATTTAAGTTTAGAAAGGACACTCTCACTCTTGAGAGTTATTTACCTCTACTGCTATAATTTTACAATTTCATTTTTTATTTCACCTGAGGTTTATTTATTGACTGATTGTGGTACTGGGGGTTGAATGAGGCCCTGAATGTACTAGGAAAGCACTCTACCAATGACTATACCCCCTGTCCTTGCCTGAAATTTATATTGGTATATAGTGAGAGGCAAGAATCTAACATTCTTTTTGTAAAGAGCCAGTTGTCTCAGCATCATTTATTAAGTAATTTTCCCTTATTGGTGATATTTCAAATCAGTATACTAATTCTTAAGTAGAGAGGGTCTGCTTCTGGGTGTCTACTGTTGATTTATTGACCTGTCTATTCTTTTGTGAGCATCACAATTTTAATTAATTTGCTAAAATTTTAATAGCTATATTTTTTAAAATGATAAAATCATAATTGCTCCTACACAACTTACCTGGTTGCATTTTTTCACAACATCTGGTCCAGGTATGGCATTAAGAAGAGCTATAATAAGGTATCGATTTAGCAGCTTCCCTAGTCCTAGCTCTTGCAAGGTGTTGTCTGAAAGGACTCCATTCCAAAGAAGAATATTGCGGAAGAGCTAAAATAAAACATAAAGTGAATACACATGTGTTTTCTTTTCTTTTCTTTCTTTTTTTTTTTACTAAAGATTGAAGTCAGGGTCAATCAGCCACTGAGTCACATCTCCAACACTTGTTATATTTTATTTTGAGACAGGATCTCACTACGTAGCTTAGAGCCTCCCTAAGTTGCTGGGGCTAGCTGAATTTGTGATCCTCCTGCCTTAGCCTCCCAAGTTGCTGGGATTACAGGTATGAACAATTGTGCCTGGCTTATGCATGTGTTTTCTAAGTCTCTAACAAACATAAAGAGTTGCTCATACTCTTCAATTCTCATTACAATTAGCCTGTCAATTAACTGTAACTCTCAACTACAATTAGTTGGAGCTGTCAACTTTAGAACCGAAAACATCTCTGAAAAATACCTATTTCTTTACAGCCTCTATTTGCTCACTCTATTTTCCTTTTCTAGTATAACCACCCCAAATCTGTTTCAAATGAATTCACTAGGTCCTTTCCAGACCAACAGTGTTCCTCCTCAATCCATCCTGTCAGAGCTTGCGGCACTGAGTACAAGGCTGAAGGATTCCAGGATTCATAAAGGACCATTGTTAAAGCCAGGGCCACTGTTGCCAAGGTGTGACCTTAAGAAGTCAGTCAATGCTGAGAACTTCATTGCTCTGATATATAAAGAAAGAATAATAACCTGGGCATTAGGTGAAGTCCCCCAAACTATAAAATAAATACTAGCTGTCTTTCTCTTTAAGTCCAGATCTTCCTGTGAATTTTATTGCATTCCCTCCCTTTCTTTCCAGAAGTTATTTACTACTCTGAGTGCAGAATGACATGCAGTTTTCCTATAATATCATGCTTTATATCATCACTGATGTTGTCTCCTCACCTTGAAAGTCCTTTCCCTGACTCAACCACATGACAAACATTAATTCACTATTGAAACTACTGTTTCTGATATGATCTATTGATATGATCTATGTCTTTTTGTTAAACCTAATAAACACTTTAACTCTCCTAATTCTTTTTGGTAGCACTTAACACGCTGGTCTTTACTTTAAATCTGGGATTGAGCCCAGAGGTGCTTAACCACTGATCCACATCCCCAGTCTTTTTATTTTTTACTTTTAAATTTTGAGACAGGGTGTAGCTCAGGGCCTTGCTAAGTTGCTGAGGCTGGCTTTGAACTTGCATTCCTTCTGTATCAGCCTCCTGAGCCACTGGGATTTATAGGCATATGTTGAAACACCTGGCTTGTCTTTCATTTACTTCCTTAAGGCCACTCTCTTATGGTTCTAAGGTTTCTATGAAAACACTACTTTCCATTTCCCTTCTTCTGTCAATATTTTCAACGTTCTTTCCATAGCCTCTTCTTCATGCTTCACCCTATCTCCTCAGAACTTGTCATTCAAGACCATGGCTCTAAATGCAAGCTGATTCCCAAAACCTCAACTCAGATGTGTCCTCTGATATTTGGATTCATATATCCAATTGCCTCCTAGACTTTTGGATTTGTCCCAGAGCTGTGTTCAATTCATTATATCCAAAACTGACCTTTTCTTCCCTCCCTGGCTTTTTCTTCTTCCTTTACCTCCTATAATGTTCCCAGAGAATATAGTAAGTCACAAGGTTGCCGAAGTCAGGAACTTGGCTTTGACCTTATGTTCTCAGATGTAAATTAATTGAGTCTTTTCAGTGGTATATCTTAAATGTCTTTTGAACCCATCTTCTTACCATTCCTATTACTACTGACTTGACAATGACTTTATGTTTACTTTTTAGAACAAGGGTTAGCCAATTATGATTTGGGTGTTAAATTCAACCTCTGCTTGTTTCTATAGGACCTGTGGGCTAGAATAGTTTTCACATTTTTTAAATGACATTAAAAAATGTTTTTTTAAAAACAAGTAAAATTTTATAACAAGTAAAAATTATGTGACATTCAAATTTCAATGTCTATAAGTATTACTGAAACATAGCCACATTTATTTGTTTACATATTATCTGTGATTCTTTTGGACTACAGTGGCAGAATCCAGTATTTCAGTGGATACTATACAACCTGCAAAGCCTAAAATATTTATGATGTGGGCCATAAGAAAAAGTCTACCACTTTGTTTTATAGTCAACTCTATTAAAAATAAATCTGCATTTTTATTTTACCTTCAGAGCTGACCAGAATTGCCTTTCTTGGAACTTGGAATGCGGTGATGTTTCATTTTCTACAGCACTAATTGAAACAACAGAAAGAGAAAGGAGAAAATGCAAATTACTCTTTCAGAATCAGAGTTTTAAAAAACATTTATTTTAAACAAGCATACTAAGCCTTAATTGAATACAAATGGAAGTTCTCTACATGGAGGTGATCTGATATCTATCAAAAATTACAAACACATCTACACTCTGACCCACCAATACCATTTTTGAGAATGTCTCTTGTACATAAGTTTTCAAATGTACAGAATGGTATGTCTGCTAGTTTATTTGCAATATCCACTGTTAGTAAGTTCAGCACTTTGATGTCTATCAGTTTCAGTATATCTACATGATGCCAGGCTATATGCAGCTTCAAAAAAATATAGGAAAATTCTCATGATAACATGAAATGATCTCAAAGATGTACTACATGAGGGCTGGGGTTGTGGCTCGGCGATAGAGAGCTCGTTTAGCACGTGTGAGGCCCTGGTTTCAATCCTCAGCACCACATTAAAAATAAACAGATAAAATAAAGGTATTGTGTCCAACTACAACTAAAAAATAAATATTTTTAAAAAAGTGTACTACATGAAATAAAATTCAAACTGGATAATATACTTTGCTGTAGAAAAAAGGGGAAAGTAAGGTAATGGCATATATAAGTATTTACTTCTATTTGTATGAAGAAAATAAATATAAAAGTAATTGATTATTGCATGCATGTATATGGATAAAGGAAGAAGGGCAAAATCTGAGTGTATAGAGGGCAGGATGGAAGTAAATTTTTTCATTTTAAGTGTAAATTAAATATTAGCAAATAAATCACATGTAGAAGGATTTAAGTAAAAACTTTACAAAATAAACCTTACCAAGGAAGAATTTTTATATGCAGACACCACTTCTTGACTCAAAAAAGTCAAAAAGCCAAGAGCTTTCTTTCTTCCCATTCCACAAAGTTTTCTATCCTGTGACTACTTACTGGGTAGCTATAGTTTAGCATGTACCTAATACTATGCCATGCTTCTAATACTAGTTTTTTTTTCTTTCTTTTTTTTTTTTTTTTTTTTTTTGAGAGAGAGAGAGAGAGAGAGAGAGAGAGAGAGAATTTTTAAATATTTATTTTTTTAGTTTTTGGCGGACACAACATCTTTATTTGTATGTGGTGCTGAGGATCGAACCCAGCGCCGCACGCATGCCAGGCGAGTGTGCTACCGCTTGAGCCACATCCCCAGCTCTAATACTACTTTTTTTCATAAAGTAAATACATAATTCACAGCTGCAGTTTCTGGACATTCAGTGATGTTCTAGGCTTACACTATTCTGCTTTTATACAAAGCTTTGTTTTAATCTGAGCACTCTTCTCGTCTTCCTAAAGTTCTGTGAAATAGCAACTAATTTTATACTCATTTTACAGATGAGGACAATGATGTTTAGAAAGGACCAAGATCAAATATCTAGTAATGGTGGATCCAACCTCTAGAACCTGTGCTTTTGACCACTTTATGCAACTGCTCATGTTCCTAACGAACATTTAAACAAACAAACAAAAAAAAAAAATCAAAAGTCCAAGTGCTAAGTATCATACATGGTATACAGCAGGTGACTGAGAAATACTTGTTGAAATCTCAATTTGCATCTTAATAGAATATGTACATGTATGTTTTAAGAACAGTATAGTTTCTCTTGCATTATGTCCTTAAATCTGTATTACATGATGAGCTATTTCAAACAATACAAAAGTTAACAGCTTTTACCTCTTTGGGTATAGAGGAATAAAAACATCATCTTCTATCGCCTTCTTCATTCTTGAAGCAATGGATTTAAGTAAATCCTATTATTTAAAAATTGGAAAGTATCAGCAATAGTCATAATTGGAAATATATTTATCAAAAAACATTTTTTTAAAAATATTGTTTAGTTGTTGATGGACATTTATTTTACTTATTTGTATATGGTGCTGAGAATCGAACCCAGTGCCTCACACATGCTAGGCAAATGCCCTACCACTGAGCCACAACTCCCCAGCCCCCCAAAAACCATATTAAAAAAAAAATTCTATGCAGTGTATTCTCAAGTCATTACAGTGCTCAACCAGTTCAACATACAAAGATGTAATAGTAAACACTAGCATGCACATATTCCTGTTCTGAAAAAAGACAAGTTATACACATAGGAAAAAAAATGCAGCAAATATTAAGATATTCAAAGTAATTTTTGACACTTCAGATGTGACATTTTTACAAGAAAAGTGTAAGCTTTAAAATAATTAAACAATTTCCATAGACTTATAAAAGGATTGAGATAAATACTAGGAAACTCTTGACAATCACAAGAACATTTTCCTATGCTATTTAACAAGGGTAGTTCTATAAAAAGTCCCAAAATAAAGTTAATATTTGCCACCATTAAATATATCAAACTCCCAATACCAAAATATGCTAAAATGAACATGCAACGTGGAAGCTATACTAAAGAAAACAGCACGAGGCTCTTGAATATTGCAAAGTGTCTATAGAAGTTTTCTTAGGTGTGTCCATGAGAAAGAAACTTCCTTTCAAAAGAGCCATTATAATGGGTAGGTCAACAGAAAAAGTGAAATTATTTAAAATCTTTTCATTCTATCCTTTTCAAATGTAGATGTAAAAGAGAAAAATCTAAACATAATTTTAAAAAAAATATTATCTTATGAATAAAAGAGGTGAGTGGTGCATTCTGATGCATTATAACCATAATTTTAGTAGTGAAAATTTGTACACATTCATAGAATTGGCTATTAAAATAATTACCAACTGGGATACCTATTCATTTAGGCTATTGCCTGTGGCTGTAGATGATCATTTTCACTGCTATATTGTATTTTGTTGTATAAATACTAGTAGTAGGACATTTAGATGGTTTCCTGTTAAGGATCTCTTATGAAAAATGATACTATAAAAGTTCTTGCAGATATTTTAGTATACATAAGCATACATTTCTAATGGGCATATACATAGAAATGGAACTGCTGGAATATGCTCATGACTGGATGTCCAACTTTATATAAAATGCCAAATTGTTCTATAAAATAGTGGTACTATTTTATATTTCCATGGCTGTGTATGAGACATCCTGTTTCCCTATATCCTTATAAAACTTATTGCTTTTTTTCTAAATGTTTATAATTCTAGTCATATCCCATTGTGCTTTATTTTTCATTTCCCTGTTGGGTAATGCTTGGCATATTCTCATGTATTTATTTGCCATTTGGAAAGCTTTTCTGCAAAGTACCTAGTTAAGCTGCTTGTCTATGTTTCTGTTTTTTTTTGTTTTATTTATTTATTTTTTTTGTATTAGGTTCTATCTTTTCGTATTGATTTACAGAAGCACTCATGCACTCTAGCTACAGGTCCTTTGTTGGTTTGCTTATGTCCTTAACATAGTAAATTTACTTTGTGAAAATTCATTTTGTTTGTATATCAAAGATCAGAAATGACCAAAGTATTCCATCAGGGAATTTTAATGACATCATGCTATATCCATCCACTAAATGAAAATATTAGCTAAAGTTTTTGAAGACTGTAGTAACTTACAAATATAACTATGTAATGAGATAATGTTAAGTGGAAGAATAATACATACATGTCCATTAGGACTATAACTTTGGGGGAAAAAAAAGGCTGGGTGAAAATATCCAACAATGGTACCAATCCTTGATATGATTACTAAGATGAAAAGATGACGGGAATTTCAAATATTTTTTCAATTGTGAAAAATATTTCTATACAGAGATATTGTTCTTATTCTTAAAGAATCCATATTTGAATAATAATAATGGCATACTAAACACTAGAATAAAAGTTATTTTAAAGTCAAAGATACTACATGCAGCACAAATGAAGCTGTCATATAACTATAACAAACTGAATTATTCATAAATGTAGAATTCAAGCAAAATTTTCCCCCCTTTTTGGTACTGTGGACTGAACCCAGAGATGCTCAACCACTGAGCCTCATCCCTAGCCCTTTTTATTTTGAGACAGAGTCTCACTAAGTTGTTGAGGCTGGTTTGAACTTGTGATCCTCTTGCCTCAGGCTCCAAGTTGCTGGGATTACAAGTATATGCCACCACACACAACCATATTTTTTCCAAAGAGGCATATTAAACTGAATTTTTATGTCTTTTTTGATTTAATTATCCATACCATATTACTCAAGTGGCCAGATATCAATATTTATAACATTAAAAACAAACTCATTTCTTAAACATTTTAAATTTTTAAGGAAAAAATCATTTTCTAGGTAATATCTCCATAAAATAGTATCTGAACCTATATAAATATTTCATTTCATTTATTTACTTTTTTTTTTTTTTTTTTTAACAGTGCTGGGGATTGAATTTAGGACCTTGCACATGCTACATAAGGGCTCAACCACTGGGTTACAATCCAATCCTAAGAAATTATTACCTGTTGGCTTTTATTAACTTCATTTTCATAAGTGGAATGTTCTTCAAGAATCACTCTGCAGTGGTTTATTAAACTTGTTGTCTGTGAAGTTGACAGTGGATCCCAAATGCATTCTACAAAGTCTGAAACAAAGATTTTTACTGGTTTGCAATTTATTTACTAGATTACTTTATATCTCATGTACAAATATCCAAGGCCTTTAGCACAGACTATTTTCCTCCTTATTTAAGTTAAAATCTATGGTCAGTCATTGCTATTACATTTGCATACACCCTCAATTTCTTTGTCCTCCTGTGTTTTGCTGAAATCATCTGGTTAAACCACAACCCTAATTAAATCCACCTGTCTCTGAGTCTGTGTTTGTTACAATTCAGCTAAGATATGCCTGGGGAAAAAGAAATCACATTAAGTTGATCACCATAAAACTCCAGTGAGTTTTTTCTGATCCATCACACTTTCTGATCCATTACTTTCCTTTTTGCCTAGATGATTATTTCATACCTCCTGTTACTCTTTTCTCAGCTACTTACTTTACTTCCTGATTTGAGTTTAAAAAAAAAAAAAAGGCAATCAGAAGAGAAGCTCCATGATCTTCTACTATGGCATCCATACATCTACCTGCACTTCTGCCTGTATGTCTCTGATTCTTTTGGATGAAGACCCACACTCCCAGTTAAGGCCAATCCTTTACTTATACATGAGATCCCAACTACCTTGGTTTTCTCAAAGATATTGTTCCTGAAATTCTGCCTTTACACTTTGGTATTGTTATCACTTCTACTGGATTTTTCTCATTAGCCTAGAAGCAGTCATTTCTGTTGTGTTAAAAATAATGCCGGTCTTGAGCTAGGTATGGTGTCTGTCATATGCCTGTAATTCAAGCGACTAAGGCAGGAAGATCATAAAAATTTGAGGCTAGCTTGGGCAACTTAGTGAGATCCTGTCTCAAAAACTAAAAAGGGCTGGGAATGTGGCTCAGTGGTAGAAAGAACACTTCTGGATTTAATCCCCACTACCAGGAAAAAAAAAAGAAAATCCCCTCTTAATTCTATTATTCCCCACCCCTGCCCAAGTACTGCTTCATTTCTCCCCTTCTTTTTAAGACAAAATTCCTCAAACTATTGTCTAAGTTTTTATCTCCAATTTTTCTCTTCCATTTTGTTCTTGAATTCCTTTTGCTTACATTTTACCGCCTTCCCATCATTCTGCCTAAACTGCTTTTATCAAATCACAAGGGATATTCACATAGTAAACTCCAGTGGCTAATTCTAATCCTTACCTGACTTACTGTCAACAATTAAAACAATTCATCATTTTTTTCTTCCTAGAAACCCTTCCTTTACTTGGCTTCTGGACACCACTTACCTGGTTTCCTACCTCTTTGGCCTTTGTCTGCTCCTTACCTGACTTCTAAATGCCGGAAAACCTTAGGACTCAGGTCACTTTTCTTTTCTTTCCTATTTATATTAATTCCCTTAATATTTAGTATTTTATGGCTTAACTGTAATCAATATGTACATAAATTTCAAATTTATATCTGTCTGGACTGCCCCTTTATAACTCATACATTCAACAATGTAATTGACACTCTCATTTAGATGTCAGGCAACCCAAATTCAATATGTTTAATATAGCTTCCTCCACTTCAAGAAATAACAATGCTATTCTTCCAATAATCATGGAATTACCCCTGATTCCTATCTTTATCTCTGCTCCATAACCATTAGAAAAATTTGTTAGTACCACCTCTGAAATATATACAGAATGCAACCACTACAGGAACCCAGGTGGTTTTCATTTTTTATAAAGTGACTTATTTATGGAACTGTTTAATCATAAGAATTTGATTTTTTCAGGAGAATACTTGTATGAAAAAAAATCTTTAAAAATTTAATGGAGATGGCTGAGAAACTATATAAAGGCAATGGCTTAAATTTTGGGTGGGTTTTTAAAAAAATTGTTTTTATTATTTTTTTTAAATATCCGACAACAGTGGAATGCATTTCTATCCTTATTACACATATAGAGCACAATTTTTCGTATCTGTTTATAAAGTATGTTCACATCAATTTTTTAAAAACAGTTCTGTAATCTTTTCTATCAAAATTGATTCTGTGACATGGTGAAACAGATCCTTGTCAAGTACAATTTTAGGTAAAACAAGTGTCTTCAGACTGAAATCTAAAGCACAGGCATTAATACTAAGTTAATTAATACTGGTTGCAAGTGGCAGATACACAGAAAATATAGTACTTTTCTTTTAATGAAAGGGAAAAGAAATAAAGAGAAAAATCATAAAAGGAGAAGTTAAGAGAAAGAAAGAGATGCTTTTTGACAGTATAAAACATGCTCCTAACAAATGAATTAGGTGTCACAAAAGCAGCAGTAATGTCACAATGCTGAATGATCAGAGATGTAGAAGTTTGATAGCCAACCATTTGCCCACACAAGCATTTTTTTTTTTAAATATTGTTTAGTTGTAGACGGTCACAGTATCTTTACTTATTTATTTTTATGTGGTGCTGAGGATCAAACCTAGTTCCTCATGTGTGCTAGGAGAGCGCTCTACCACTGAGCCACAACCCCAGCCCCCCACAAGCATTTTTAAAACAGTTTAAACTTGACATCAGTTGATCTTTTTTTTTTTTTTCATATTTATCTTTTAGTTGTAGTTGGACACAATGCCTTTATTTTATTTTGTTTATTTTTATGTGGTGCTGAGGATCCAACCCAGGGCCTCATGCATGTTGGTAGGCAAGCGCTCTACCACTGAGCCACAATCCCAGCCCCTGTTGATATTTATTGTATATAACTTTTCCTTTTGTTACAAAACTTCTGAAAAAAATATAACTGAAGAGAATGATTTTATACTGTCAAAAAGCAAATTAATGTTAGCAAGATTAAAAGGGAGTACCTTTAAGTCGAGGAATAACTGTCTTGTTGATGACTGAAGACAAAATTTTTTTATCAGAACTAGTGTCTCTCTTTGCATCTTCCACATTGTTATCCATAAATTCTTCTATACACGTGAACCATGGCATTTGTTTTAAACCTATGGAATCCAACTTAAAAATGGAATTATAAAAGTTATAAATAAATACTTAAACAATAGTGTAACAGTTGTTAACTTTTCCAGTAATCATCATAATTTTTTCTAAGGATCAAGAAGAAAATAATTCCACATTTTAACACTGTGTATGTAGCATTAGACCACCACTTGGCAGATGTCATGGGTAAGACATAATGTGTATGCAATGTAACAAAAAACTGAATTGTATGCATTCATTCATACAGCAAACAATCAGCAAATGCTCATTGAGTGCCAAGGCCTTCAGAACCTACCATATGGCAAGTGCTCTTGTAGGAGCAAAATACATTTGAAATAACCATGAAATTTGCTCATAAAAATTCAGCTATCTCAAGTAAAATTTGCTTCTGGTCTTTTTTTAATCTCATAAACATAAATATGTGATTTGCAAGTGTTTTTAGCTTATTAGAAAATAACATATGACCAGTTATTATTTGTTGAATGCATTAATGAAATGATCTCTGCTAGCCACATAAGTACCCAATTCAGTTTGCATGGTTAACAATTAGGCTGCTGCCCAACTGACTACCTAGCACTTTCTTTTTTTTTTTTTTTTTCCTTTTGTTTTGGGTACCAGGGATTGAACTCAGGGGCACTCACCCATTGAGCCACATTCCTAACCCCTTTTTTGTATTTTATTTAGAGACAGGGCTTCATTGAATTGCTTAGTGTGTCTCACTATTGCTGAACTTTGAGGCTAGCTTTGAACTCACGATCCTCCTGCCTCAGCCTTCTGAACCACTGGGATTACATGTATGTGCCACAGTGCCTGGCTACCTAGCACTTTCTTAGAAATAAACTTGGTTCCTGAACCATGAAGATTATGTGGTCCTGAACCTAACCTGGAGTCTACAGGCATCATGACTAAGAAAAAGAGTAGTGTGTGTGGCCTTAGGTTCAGTCCCTAGCATGGTGGTGGCAGGTAGAGAGAGGCAAAGAGAAGAAATAATTTATTTTGTTAAATCTTTATCCTCAACTTCCTTTTCTTCTAGAGTCATTTTCTCATTTCTGTTTGCTAAGTAGGCATGTTCCCAAGGATGTCCCCTATTATTTCATCATCTATGAAGAAAGAAAAACTTCCTATAAAATCCTCTTCATTCTTTCTGAAAAGTCCCTACTACTATGCATGAAATGACTATTCTTCTAATACTCCAGGATCCAACACCTTGGGGTTATCTTTGTTTGTAGAGGGTTAGGGTTATTCTCTACATTTCACTACTTCTTAATTCATAACTCCTCTTATAATCAATTATTTCCTTCTCTTCCCTTTGCCACTATCATGGAATCTGTCACATTGAATTTGGGCTATAAGAATGGCTTTCCATTTCTTATTTTCATCCAAGTTAGATAACTAGCAGGGCTCCCTAAAACATTACTTTCAATCTGTTACTCCTTCAATTACTTACCAAAATAAGTTCTTATCTGTCAATTTCAGTGTAATTTCCAGCTCCTGAAATAATAGTTCTCCCTTTATAGCTTTAATCTCCTACTGTTGAAATCCTCTCCCTCCTTCATTCAGGCCTCCTACCACCTCTTTCCAATATGTTATCTCCAGCTTCAGAGCCCTTGGAATAAGACTTTTATTTTGATTTCCCCAAACCTATACTACCTTATACTTTTTGGAAGGATTTCAAATAATATATAAAAATTTAGTGGTGCTCAGACTGAAAAATCGAGTCACAGCCAAGTAAAGAAGAATGTAGCGTAAAGTACACATTTCCAGACTACTGTTTCAAAGCTCTGAATTTTAGCTCCAACTCTTAGGGTAAGGTATTTTATAGCTAACTTGATAGCAAAGGAATTTAAGTAATTAATGTGACCAGGATAATCACATGTTAAGTGTAAATACCTTAAGAGGATTCCAATCAAGCAACTGGACTCGTATTAGGGGATTTAAAAGTTTTGGTATGCATAAGCCAATAAAAGCATCATAATAGGAATCAGGAAACTTTTCTCGCCATTGCTGAAATTTCAATAAAATATTCTGGATGTTACGAAAATCATCATGCACATCTTCAAAAACTTTCTTATGATCCTGTAAAATGTCACCTGTAAAACAAACAAACCTCTTTAAGTTATGCATTTCAAGTTTTGTTTTCCTTATAAACATAGTCACATACGACTATGTAATCAATTGAGTTAAAAACTTTCCTTTGATATTAACATATAATTTTCATTAAAAAATCATGTTAGTAACAAAAGTGATAATATCAATACTAAGAGCAGCTACCATTTAATGAGTCCCTGCTTTTTGCTAAAATACTACATATACATTATCTCATCACCAAGATGGATATAATCTACTCATTTACAGAAAACAAAAAATATCATATTTAGGAGGTCAATGAATTTGCCCATGATCACAAAGAATAAAGCCTTTCTTTGAACTTAAGTCTCCTGACTCTAAAGCCCAGACTCTCTTAACCATATACACTGAACCTTCTCATTATGTCAATAATGGTTTCACTAAATTCAATTGCTTTAAAGTAAAAATAATTAGCACTGGAAGTAGGAGATAAAGAAATGAAACTAAAATATTCATTTGTAACAAAAGAAGGGAAAAAAACTGAGGGAAAAAAACTATATAGATGCAAGAATAGTCACAATGTTCCTTAGCCATTATTTTCTATTTTTCCAGAGGGTGGAAAAGTCTTAAAGGACAAAATCATTTTTCCTTTTTCTTGAATTTTCCCAAATGTTTTATATAACTTATGTATTTAAAGGCAATCATAGCCAAAACATTTCATACTTTGGAAACATGGTAACTGACCTTGGCTTTTTTGGAAGTTGGTCATCTCTGCAGAAGATAGTTCATCATCACTAGATGTCCCTTCCTGATGGTTATAGTTACCAGAAAGTGCTCTTGCTTGCCTTCTTTGTATCCTATAAATTTATAATTGCAATGAATCACAAATAAATGGAAAGCAAATAGTTCTTGCCAAAATAAATACTTTAAAACAAAAAGTAGCGGTAATTTTATAATTTATATATAATGGCCAGAAACACACCATCATATTAGGATATAATTTTATGTTACTATTTTTTGAAACTTTCAGCTTCATAATTTTGTGATAGTGATTCTTCCTCTTTTTTCTTATAACAATTTCTGACAAGAACATTCCCGTGGGTTAACCAGTTTCTGAAGAAGGGGTAATAATAAAATTAGAACTAGATTCTAGTTAAGAATAATTCCCAGCTTGATATATGTCAATTTTTTCCCCCTTCCTGTCAACAGATTCAAATATACCTTTAAAGCAGCTGAGAACTGCTTACAAAATTTTGGTCTTATATTATTTTCACAAATTAACATGTCAGATTAGGTTTAATTATATCATACAGTTAATTCTATTTAAATAGTGAAAAGTACTTGCTCACTGATGCTTTAAGTCTTCACTTTCTATAGGTACCTTCGAGATTCAATATCTTCTAAAATGCGCTGAGTTTTTTCATCTATAACCAAACTTCCATTTGTTGATGTCTCAGCTTTGCCTGTTAATGAATAAAATTCATTTTGTACTGCAAATTTTCAAAATAAAAATGAAACACCTTGAAAAACAAAGGTAATATCATGAATGCATATACATACATGTACATATAAACACACAAAATATGCTTACATTGCATATTTCATTGTTCAATGAAATTTTCACTTTAATTCCCTCTAACAATGTTACTAGGTCTCAAGTTTCCTAGCCTAAAAAAGGTACCTTGGTTGGTAATTTAGTACTTGATAACAACAAGATAATTTTATTTCCATATTTCTTTTCTTCATATTCTTTTTCAATAATTTTTTACTGATTTTCTCTATAGCCAAATACTAGAAATATTTGCATTGCCAACATCTTATTCATATTGTTATCTATTTTAGTATAGATCATTATTTATGACTGAGAAATGCAATTTAATCCCTTTCACTATCCCCTGATAGCACTTCAATGAGAGGAAGACATCTCTGAAAATACAAAACCAGTGTAAGAACTTAAATGAAGTATACAGATTTCATATATTGAAACCTTCAGATGAGCCTATACTAAAATTCACCATAACCAGTTGGTTGAAGAGTCCTTAAAACTACAAAGTTAGATCTCTGACAGTCGGTAGATTTATATGAACTCATCTTAAAACATTTCATTAAATGGCCATATAAATATTTTGCTTAATCTAAGGGATTAGAAGTTATAATATTTGCTTTTTAATGGTAGATTTAATTTATTTTGAAACTCTACCTGTAAATGTTTTGTTTTTGAAAGGGAACAGAGGAAGGATTAGTGAGAAAATACACAAAAAGCTTACTTTTTTTTTTTTTAAGTAAGAATAAAACCATTTTTATTCTCCAAATGATAATGTATCTTCATGAATAATAAACTGTATTAAACATAAAAAACACTAACGTGATAACTGTTGTAAGTACGCTGATTCATGTTTTAATTCATCTTGCCTGCGCTTCATTAAGGTCATGGCTTGTTTTAAAAGAAGTGCGTGCATGGATGATTCTATTTCTTGGATGTTGATCATCTGAAATACATATATAAGTAACATCTGCAGGTCACTGATAATCAGTTTTAAAAGTATAAATAAGTAATATTTAGAAAATATATAAACATGTATGTGTTCAATTTTCATATGAAGAGACATTTCTAATATTATTGCATCTTAATTATAAAACATTGTGAGCAAAAGACCTAGCTGCAAATACTTTTAATATCAAAAACCAGAAAATCAACTTTTCTACTAGAACAAGTATAAAAAGATAATGAAACCAAATGAGATGGAGTGAGGAACATGGATGTTTATGATAAAAACGTAAGAGATAGAAAAGTAGGAGGAAATGAGGGGTGCAGCTATTTTTCCTCAGGCTGAGGGGAAAATAGTAGGGGCACTTGAAGCTGGTGAAATCTGAAAAACTGGAAAATGAGAAGGAGAACCAACCAGGGATGGGTATGAAAGTTGTGAGGCAGAAACACAGGCTAGTTGAAATTGGAACTTCTATTTCTTGGGCAATAGTTGCTTTTTTATTCCAATGATGTTCCACAGCTGCTGCTATGGATAGATCAATGGGTGGACTGGTAAGATTTTAAATGTGTAATTTTTCAAGGATGAATGAAGAAAAAAGTTACATTTTAACTGATACATTAGAATGCAACTACCACATGGTATATAAAGGCAATCAACTTAAAACAACAGTGGACAAAACATTTAATCGACAACATTTTAATGATTTAAGTAATATGGAAAGTAGAACATGATTTATTTTTAAATAATCTACCTTTTTAAGGATAATTGAAGATCCCAGTGTAAGAACTTATTGTGCATAAAACAAAACCAAAAAGTATAAGCTGAAAGATTTATAAATCTGATCAAAAAATTTCAAAACTTATGAATATCAAACAACCATGGCAAAATTAAAAGGCAAAACAAGTTGCAAAGTTGATATCAAATAGGATAAGGCATTAAAATTTTTAAGATATAAAGAATTTTATCCAGGCATGGTAGGATGTGCCTGTGATCTTAGTGATTTGGGAGGCTGAGCAAGAGGATAGCAAGTTTGAGGTCAGCCTCAGTGACTTAGTAAGACCCTATCTCAAAATAAAAACTAAGGGTGGATGTGGATCAATGGTAAAGGACCCATAGGTACAATCCTAGGTTACCTCTACCCCATCCCCGCCAACACACACGAGGAATTGTTCAACCTAAGAAAACTAAAAGAAAAAAAAAATTCCCATTAAGAACCAACGTAATAACAAGGCAGAGATAATCTGCAAGAAGAAAAACTACATATAGCTAATAAAATAAAGGGTTTGAGATCAGAATATAATATAGAAAAACAAAATTCATTTTTTCCTCATCTAGTCAACTAATAAAACTGATACAATCTTTCTAGAGGACAGTTTGGCAATATGTTTCATAAGCCTTAAAAATATTTGTACTTAATAATTCATTTTCTTTGACTTGTTTCATTTTTTAGGAATTATTAAACAGATAAAATTTTATTATAAAATATGTAAGATTTTATACAGAATTACTTATAGCATCAAAACAAGTACAAATCCCCTTAATCTCTAAAGGGACTATGTTAAAAACCTGTAGAATGAGTGGATAAATAAAGAAAAAAAAAAAAATATATATATATATATGCCATGGAGTTTTATTCATGAAGAAGAATGAAACTGTGTCATTTGCAGGAAAATGGATGGAATTTGAGAGTGCTATTAAGCAAAATAAGACAAGACCAGAAAGTCAAAGGTCATATGTTTTCTCTCACTGAAGCTAGAGAGAAAAAAAGAAAAAGAAAACGTGGGGGGAATCTCATGAAAATAGAGGGGAATCCCAGGAGAAGATAGGAAGGGGACCTTGTGAGAGGGGGGAAAGGGAAGGTACTAAGGAATGAAATTGACAAATTATATTGTACTGTGCACATATACAAACATGTAACAACAAATCCTACTATTATGCATAATATATCAATAAAAAAATAAGAGGAAAAAGTATGTAGGAAAAGGATATATAAAGAACTCAAAAAACTTAACACCAAATAAACAAATAACCCAATTAATAAATGGGCTAAGGAACTTAACAGGCACTTCACAGAAGAAATAACAATTAGTCAACAAATATATGAAAACATATTCAACATTTCTAGAAATTAAAGAAATACAAATTAAAACTATACTGAAATTTAATTTCACTCCAGTCAAAATGATAATTATCAAGAATACACGTAACAGGGCCGGGGATGTGGCTGAAGCGATAGCAGCGTGCTCGCCTGGCATGCGTGCGGCCCGGGTTCGATCCTTAGCACCACATACGAACAAAGATGTTGTGTCTGCCAAGAACTAAAAAATAAATATTAAAATTCTAAAAAAAAAAAAAAAAAAAAAAGAATACACGTAACAATAAATGTTGGTGTGAATGTGAGGAAAAAGGTATACTCATACATTGCTGACAGGACTGCAAATTCTTGCAACAATTCTAAAAAGCTGTATGGAGTTTCCTCAGAAAATTTGGAATGGAACCACCATTTGACCCCATTATCCCACTCCTTGGCATATACCCAAAGGACTTAAAATTAGTGTACTATAGTGATACAGTCACATCAATGTTTATAGCAGCTAAATTCACAATAGCTAAGCTATGGAACCAATCTAAGTGCTCTTGAACAGATGAATGGACCAAGAAAATATGATATATATCCACAATGGAATATTACTCAGTCATAAGAGAAGAATGAAATTATGGCATTTGCTAGTAAATGAAGGTAACTGGAGACTATCATGCTAAATGAAAAAAAGCCAATCCCCCAAAAATAAAGACCGAATGTTCTCTCTGATATGTGGATGCTAACACTCAATGGGGGCAGGGATAGAAGTTCAATGGAGTAGACAAAGGGGAATGAAGGGAAGGGAAGGGGTATGGGAATAGGAAAGATAGTAGAATGTACTAGACATAAATTTCCTATGTTCACATATGAATACACAACTAGTGAAACTCCATATCACATATAACCACAAGAACAGGAAGTTATACTCCATGTATGTATCATATGTCAAAATATACTTCACTGCCATATATAACTATAAAAACAAATACATTTTTTAAAAGTTCCTAATTGCTATAGCTGGAACAATTTGAGAAATTAGGTGAAATAGTTTTTAGTTAGACAAAGAGTGTGAGAAATACCTATAATCCTTTACTAATAAAATAAATTATTGACTAATAAATGGGGACAAGAGAAAAAAATGTAGAAAAAATACTTATAGAAAATTAAAAGCACGTAATAAATAGTAAGATTGAGAATATTATTTAGTTGTATAATAAAGGTGTTTTTCCCAGAAAATGATAGATTTATATGTACCTTTTCATTAAGACAGTCAATTATATTTTCCACGTAGATTTTCATGCTTTTATAGAATTTATAATTTGCAGCTTGACTTGATGAATTCTCAAGGTTCTCAATTGTACTCTTTGAGCTCTTGACATCTTGCATGTATTTTTCAAATTCTCTCTGATGTGAGCGATGAGTATCCTGTAGTAATGTTAATCTAAATAAATAAAATAAAAATGCTTTATTTTTCCAATCGTTCCTTTTGAAGTAGTACTCTATTGCAAACATTTTCGAAGACAACCAAGGGAACTGATAATCTTATAAACCTGAGTTTATTAGACTTGAAAAGGGGATCATTACAGTTACAGAGCTCTCAAAGTGGAAAGGAAAGAGATGACACTGGTAAGTTTTTAAATTTTAATTTAATTTTAATTTTTTACTTCTAGACATATCTTCTCTTAACTGTTAATCCTTTCTTTTCCCCCATTTTTAAAAATTGGCGCATTATAGTTGTACAGACATTGCTAGGTTTTTAAAGGTGAGGGCTAATCCATAGGCTAGTTTTAGATTAGAAGTTAATGAGTGTGCTGGGATTCGTGAGAATCCAAGAACAATCAATCATTTTAAATTTGAATCTGAGGAGACCATGTCGTATTATTCTTAGATTAAGTTTGTGATCTTTCTAGGAATATAGATATTTGAGTAAGCTGGCATTAATGTCATTTAAAGACATAATGGTTGGATACAAATTTTCTGTTTTGGGATTTGAAATGCTTTTGTTTTGTCATTAGAATGTGTTATTCCTTCGAGCAAATCTCTTCCTGGTTGCATTTCGATATATGCTGCCTATTAAAGTCAAGACAGCCTACATTCTTTTAGCCCTTGGGAATATCATACCAATTCTTTTAGCCCTTGGGAATATCATACCAATATCATCATTGATGTTACATGAAGAAACTGTTAAATACAATTCAATGACTGTTGATCTTTTCATTGTTTATCAGTTACCTGTCATAGATAAATGCCAATGGAGAAAAAAGAAACACATTTGTTTAAAAATATCTGGAATGTATTTTCTAATATTTGACTCTCTGAATGCTTTAGAATGAGAGAATTAAATAAAAATTACAATTTCATAGTATTTGGACTTAAATCAGGATTAAAATATTATTCTGTTCCTGCTAACCTGGTCCATAAAAGACACTCTAGTACTTGCTTAAGCCAAATGTGCTCTCCCCAAGGTTTGCTATCTTTTCCTTTCAGTCTTTGTTTTATGTAAAGAACAGTGAGAGTTAAGATATAAATCAAGATAATAATGTACAGCAGGCACTGTTAATATACTTTGGTGTTAATCAAGTAGAATATTATCAGTCATAGCAGTGAATTTGTAAGTAGTTACAATGTGAAAAACTTCTAGATATACCAAACAACATAGATAGTGGGCTTTCTCTATTATATTAAAAAATGGGGCAATATATAAATATATATGCACACAAAAAATAATTAACAATGTGAATGAGAGGACCTACAAAATGGGAGAAAATATTTGCTAGATACTCTTCTGACAGGATTAATATCCAGAATATATGAAAAACTCAAAAAACTTAACACCAAAAAAGAAAAAAAAATCCAATTAATAAATGGGCAAATGAACTAAACAGGCACTTCTCAAAAGAAGAAATAAAAATGACCCACAAATATATGAAAAAAAAATGTTCAATATCATCAGCAATTGGGAAAATGGAAATCAAAACTACATTGAGATTTTTATCTCATTCCAGTCACAATAGCAATTGTCAAGAGTATGAATGATTAATGCTGGAGAATATGTGGAGAAAAAGAACACTTTACACTGCTGGTGGGATTGTAAATTAGTACAACCACTATGGAAATCAGTGTGAAGGTTGCTCAAAAGATTAGGGATAGAACCGCCAGCTGACCCAGCTATATCCCTGCTCAGTTATTTATCCTAAAGAATTAAAGTCATCATACTACAGTGATACAGGCATACCCATGTTTATAGCAGCACAATTCACAATAGTCAAAGTATGGAACCAGCCTAAATGCCCATCAATAGATGGATGAATAAATTAAATGTGGTATATATACATACATATATATATATATATATATATATATATATATATATATATACACATACACACACACACATACATACACACACACACACACACACTGGAGTTGTATTCAGCCATAAAGAAGAAAGTAAATATGTTATTTGCAGGAAAATGGATGAAGACTCGAGAACATTGTGTTAAGTGAAATAAACCAGAAATAACTCAGAAAGTCAAGGGTTATATGTTTTCTTTCATATGTGGAAGCTAGAGAGGAAAAAGGAAAAGAAGGGTGGTCGGGAGAATCTCATGAAAATGGAAGGGAGATCTGTAGAAAAGAGGAAAGGGACCAGGAGGAGAGAGGAGAGGAAAAGGGGAAATACTGGGGAATGATATTAGTCAAATTACATTATTATATTTTGTGCTTGTATGAATATGTAATAATGAATCCTTCCATTATGTATAACGCACAGATAAAAATAGGAAAAAAATATACATGTACTTATACAGATACAGATCACTTCTGGAAGGAAACATAAGAAACTGGCAGCAATAGTTCTCCTTTTCTTTGTGTATTCTTTTGTACTGGTTGGTTTTTATTTTTCTTTAAACCATGAAGGTGTATTTTCTTTTAAAAATATAGAACCTTGTGAGTAAGAAAATTGAATATGACAATAAAGTTAAAGTAACATTTACCAAGATTAAATGAAATGGTAATCTAAACCAGTGATTCATTGTCGTTTTTCTATGCTATCACTCTTGTAAGACAATTATGAATAACCATACAGGTCTGGTTTATATACAAGTCTAGAAGCAAGAGCCATTCTAGCTGTTTTCTTCTAAAAAGGAAATTGTATCAGAATGCCATTAAATAATAATAGTTATTTCAGAAATATCTTGAATGTGTGACAGTAATCTCACTTAACATCATTATTAAAAAAACACTTGAGCTGGGCACTGCTGGTGCATGCCTGTAATCCCAGCATGAGGCAGGAAAATTGCAAGTTCAAAGCCAGACTCAGCAACTTAGTGAGGCCCTAAGCAACTCTGTGAGACCTTGTCTCTAAATAAAATACAAAAAAGGGTTAGGGATGTGGCTCAGTGGTTAATTGCCCTTGGTTTCAACCCCAGTACCAACCTCCCTGCCTTAAAAAAAATCCAAAAAAAACACTACAAAAAAACTCAGAAACATTGATTTAGAATAGGTGTTGGCAAACTTTTTCTGTACAAGGCCAGAGAGTAAATATTTTAGTCTTTTTAAAGGCTAGATGACTGCTGTTGCAACTATTTAACTCTGTGTTGTAGACAAAAGTAGCCACAGACAATATGTAAATAAACAAGCATGACTGTGTTCCAAAAAAACTTTACTAATAAAAGTTGGAGAAACTGGTAGTTTGTCAATTCCCTAGAAACCAGAAATAACTTAATATCTAAAAACTTATACATGTACTAATAGTTAATGATATGTCAATTATTTAGACATATATGATATATTTTAAAACTTAAGGGTCATTTAACAATGTAGAATAATGCTTATAATTATTAAATTAAAAAAACAGAATTCTAGGATTACTGATTTCAACTATGTAATACATATCTGTCAAAAAGACTGAGAATACAAACATAATCCAAATCAAGTGTGTTAGTGCAGTTAGCAAATGGTATTTTTTGTCCTGTAAATCTATTTGGTATTAATATTTGATAATTAAAAAGAACATAGTGCTTTTTCACTGTACTAAGTGTCTAGACAAATACAAATTTCAAAATCAGTATTACTCACCTGTTATTTAGTTGTTTCTTTATAACTTCTAAATTTACTGGTGGAAATGAAATGGAAGCATCAAACTTCTTCACTGTTTGAGATTTACTACTGTGGGAAAGGTCTATATCTCTTCCCTAGAAATAATATGAAAATTTATTTTTAAAAAACATTTCATTTACTTTACAAATGTTAATAGCTTAAAAGGAGACTGGATACACCAAGGTCCCTTCCAGCTCAAAAATTCTCTGCCTTTGTAACTTTTCATTTTGAAAACAAAATGTTTTTTAAATTCTCAGTTTTAAATTTTAAAACTTAAATCTAGAAAAGACAAATTTTAAAAATAAAAAATTTCCCAGAAGTTTAGTTCTCAAAGTTTTTAAAGCTACCTTTATTCATAGTCTAGTGTACTCTGAGCAAGTCATGTGGTTTTTAAAGAAGCAACAGTCTTTGGGTGAATGCTACATGAATGATGGCATGGTAGACCAGAACAATGTGAAGGAAGCAGCCAGTTAAATGGAAGTTTGGGGGAAGTTTTCTAGGAAAAACTTTTGTTTCTGGCATTGTCATTTGGGTTTTCTGTTATTTGCCCAGAAATGCTGCTATGGTTTGGGGACATGTTCCCCAAAGGCCCTGTTAAAGACTTTGTTACCAGCCTGTGGTATTATTGGGATGTGAAGGAGCTTTTAAAAGATGAGACCTGGTGAAAACAAGAGTGGTCACTGGAGGCATGCCCCTTGAAAGGGATATTGGGACCACAGCACTTCCTCTTCTCTTTTTCACTTTCTGGCCATCTTGGGCGTCCTCTGCTACCATGTGCTCCCATGATAATGTACTAAGTCTTCATAAGCTCAAAGCAATGGGGTCATCTGGTTATGAATGGAAACCTTCAAAACTGTGAGACAAAATAACCTTTTTTCTTTACAAATTGATTATCTCAGGTATTTCTTACAGTAACAGAAGGTTCATACAAATGCATCCTTAGCTAACACATTTTATAATATAGATATCCAGGTATGTACTAGTATCCTCTGGCTAATCACAGCTCATCACCACTATGCTTAAAATGTTCAAAGGGTTCTGAAGAGTCTTTGGTTCAAACTAGGACATGTGAAGAAGTGGACCAGATATTTAGCCAAGTCATTAGCTTAATTATTCTTTATATTATTCCATGAAGCACCATCGGTTTTCACCAAGTCTCCCACTCATCTCCAACTCAGCTGCAAATCCCCAAACATTCCTGACACTTCAGTTTCAAATCCCTTACATAATAAATACCTTTCAATAATCCAATTTTAAATATCACCACTTTTAGGGAGACTTCCAAACTTCCCTATTTATTCACCATTCCATAAATCTGACCATCCCTTGCTTCTTTGTGCTATTCCCTGCAGTGAGTTCTGGGAGAACCTATAAAGAGTTCATTGTAACCATTTTGTTTAGCGGTCTCTCTTTTTGCAAAGATTGTACATCATTCTAAGTGGCTGTAGTTAGCTAATGGAGACCCTATAAAATATGAGCTCACATTCATGTAAATAATATGACAAAAGATGTGATTAAATCAAGGATTTTCAGAGCAGGTATTTATCCTGGATTATGCAGAGGGCAGTTCCTTGTATCCTTATCAAAGAGAGGACATATCAAAGGAAGGAGTCCGGGGACATAAGAGAAGAAGATAAAGTAAAGATGGCCAAGATGTGGCCACAAGCCAAAGAATACCAACTATAACCTAGAAGAGTGAAGGAGTAGATTCTCTTCTAGAGCCTCTGGAAGAAATGTCTGGCTACTAACACCTTGATTTTGGAATTCTGTTCTTCAGTATGGTGGGAGGACAAACTTCTGTTATTGTAAACCACCAAATTTGTGGTAATTTGTTGTGACTATCACAGGAAAGTGATATGAGCATGTAGTGAATCTTCAATAAGAAACCAATAAATGCACCTGCATTAGTAATAAAAATGCTAATCAAATAAGTAAGAAACTGCATTTTTGCCAACGATAGTTGCATCTAAAGCTGTCAAAACTGGTGAAACATTCCAATATCAATGTAATTATAAATTGAGTTAAGTTTCTTTAGAGAAAATATACATAAAAACGTTCATCTTTTTTTTGGGCAACTATCTTAAGGAAATAGTTGAAAACCACACCTCTAAACAAAAGAAATCAAATATTCACTGATTATTATTTACTAATAGGAAAGTAATTCATATTGCAAATAATCTAAAATATTCACCAAAATAAAGAATGGTTACAATAGTTATTCATTGACTCCACTAAATCTCACAAAGCTAATAAAATTAGTTAATATCATAACTACATTGAAGAAGGAGAAGACATTTGTATGTTAATCAAAGAAATGAGAATTCAGCAGGATGTAGAGATCTACACCTGTAATGCTAGCGACAGGAGGCTAAGACAGGAGGACAACAAGTTCAAAGCCAGTCTCAGCAACTGAGTGATATCCTCAGCAACTTAGTGAGAAGCTGTCTCAAATTAAAAAATAAAGATGTGAGTATGATCTGGCTATGACACCTGTTACCCCACTGATCTCCATGGCTGATTCAGCTGATCTGATTGGCAAGGTGGGTGTCACCTTCCTCCCTGACCACTCCATGTGCATCCCTCCAGAAGCTGTGCACTCAGTGGAAGAGGATGATCTTCCTCGACAGATGAGGATCATTCTTCTGTCAAGGGTATAATAAGTAGCTGCACTCCCCTGCTAGAACCTCCAAACAAGCTCTCAGGGTTCAAATTAAAAAATAAAAAGGAACAGGAACATAGCTCAGTGGTAAAGTATCCCTGTGTTCAATCCTTAGCACCCAAAACAAAACAAATAAATCATAAATTAAAACTGTAGGAAGACTCTAGTTCCCAAAGTATGTGAAGGAATCCCAGAGAATTCAAAGAGGTAAGGTGAAATATTTTAAAAATTTCTAGGGAAACAGCAACACTGGGCATATTTTGAACTTCTAGCTCTAATTAGTTCACAGTCTGCAACATCAGACTATACTACACTCCTTTTGATGAAGTCATATTTGTGGAGCTGGGTTTTAGGAGGATACTATGAAAAAAAGCAAGTATTGAAGATCAGTATGGAAAAGAGAGCCAGTGACCAATATGATTTCAAGGTTTGAGAAGACATGCAGTGTCAAACAGGTGCACACAATCTATCAGTAAATAACTGTGGTTATTCAAAAATGAAATAAAAAGATTTTTCTTCAATTTATCTGTATTATTCTTTTCAAATGGGTAAGTTGTTAGCATAGAAATCTTGTTAAATTTGGACTATTTAATAAATGGAATTGTTTGGTAATCTTTTGACTCAGGATCACCATGATAACAGTACTGAGATACTAAGGGCTTCATGAATGCATCAGTTTTGGAACCTCTGCTGGACAATATAATAGCAATCAATTTGAGGGAAAAAAAAAGCATATCAAATACAAATGAATTATGCAACTTTGAGCAGGTGGAGTAAGGACTGTGCCATGTTTCTTCTTGAAGTATGTTTTTAATGATGTTGTTACACTGACTTTTACCAAAAAGTAAGGAAAAACATCGGAGCCTATTACAATTGTTAAAAACCATCTGCTAAATCATTTCTTGGGTCAGAAATTCCAAAATTACAATCACAGGTTTAGCTTTAGTTAGCTTTTTAGTATTACAATAAAATGGAAATCTTATAAAACTTTCTAACTTAAAATAACATACAACAGTCTCTTAAAGAATTCTTATCAAAAAGATTCAAATATAAAACCTTTTATATGTATATTACTATAGTGTTTATAAGCACTTTTGATTTGTTATAATTTTGAACCTTACAGTCACCTAGTCAGGTGTTTAATATCATTATCATTCTCTTTATTATTAATGTAAACAACCTTGAAACTTATAGAAATCAAGTGTTTTACTCAAGTTCTTTCAATATTTACTGAGCACCCATATTAGGTGTTATTGGATACAACTCTGAACAAAATTATTAACAATTCTTGACCTCATGGGGATTATATTCTAGTATTAAGGTCAGAAACAAAATTCAAGACTTTTGACCCCAAGTGAAATTTTATTTTTAAAAAATTTTTGTAGTGTTAGGGATTTAACTCAGACCTTGTGCATTTTAGGCAAGAAATCTCCCACTGAAATAAACCCTCAGTTCTTTTTTTCTTTTCAATTTTATTTTAAACCTCACTATATATATTGAGTTTAACTTTTAAACACCTGTGTTATGTTATATACACTGTAAGTTACTAGAAAATTAAGAATTAAAAAATATGGTCCTCTCAAGTGTAAGGTATTTAAAACAGTGGAAAAGGACATGATATTTATAGTGTAGTGGGCTGCATGGTGAATATCCATGTCTTATCCACTGGAATGTACAAATATGACCTTATTTGGAATAAGGGTCTTTGTGGTTGTAGCTAAGTGAAGGAACTTGAGACAAAATCATCCTGGATAACCTGGGTGAACCCTATATGTAGACAAGTGTCCTTATAGGAAACACAAATTAGAGACACTGAGAGGGCAAGTGACAGCAAAGGCAGGGGAAGGAGTCATGCAGTCACAACTTAAAAGAAAACCTAGAACAACTAGAAGCTGGAAAAGATAAGGAAGGATTCTCCTATGGGGCATTTAGAAGGAGAACAGCCCTGTCAGCATCTTGATTTCAGATTTCTGGCCTCAATAATGTAAGAGAATAAATTTTCTGTTGTTTTCAGTTACCATGTTTATGGTAATTTGTTACAGTTAGGCACAGGAATATAACAATATATGATATAAAAATTATTACCTCTGTGATTTTAACTGCTTTCCTCATTTGTTGCTGTTCCCAAATATCTTGATTTTCATCTTCTTGACTGTCTTCACTTGTTTCTTCATTTCTACTTGCTAAAAAATTAAAAAAACAATAACAACAAACAACAACAAAAAAGTCACACATAAATACTCAGTAATTTTCCAATTCCAGTTGTAATAGTCAACATTTCTGGGGTGTATTATACACTGACTTAGCACTTTATATGTTTATTCTTCATTATAATTTGGGAAGAAGGTACCACTGTTGCCTTCATTTTACAAATGAGGAAACTTGCAATAGTAGCGGGCATGGTGTTGTTATATAGTTTGTCTGAGGACCACGATGAAGCTTAAATCCAGCAAGCTGACTCTAGAACCTGTACTCATGTCACCCAACTGTCCCATCAAGAAAACTTTTTATTAAAGTAGGGAAGATTTTAATATGACATCTAAAATCTCTGTAGAATCTTCCATATTTACAAACAAAAATTTTATACTGCATAATTTCTTCAACCGCCAAAAAGTATGTAGGATACAGGCTTAGTAAACATTATTACACATACCCTTTAATTATAATATTTTGACACAGAAACATCTTTTAAAGGATATAATGTCATGGACCAAATTGATAGTAATTTGATAGTAAATAAAAGCCAACATTAACACTCTTTTATCATGTGAAACACTACATTATGTTTTTAAGGAAATTTTATCATAAAATATTATAAGGAAAAATGCCTTAAAATTCATAGAATGGTAAATAAATTAAATATATACTTGTTTCTTCAGTCATTCTTTGTCTAAGTGTCTGAGGCTTTGGGGTAAATGGTATTCTCTTCTCATGATCATCAGGCTCACTCTCAGGATCCTCATCATTATTCCTCTTTGTATCAGGAGTGGTGGAGTCATGTTTTACATCCAAAGAAATATAGTCATCTTGGGCCCTGGCCAATTCACGTTTTCTGCGGGCTGCCTGAATAAAAGCTGCATCAGGGATCCTAACTGAAAGGAAAAAAGAAGAATACAATGAAAACCACAAACACCAACAGAAATACATATTTCTCACATTAAACAAAGAAAAACAGCACTATGTTCTTAAATTTTTCTCTATTTTTATATATGCGTGATTTTAAAAAAAATGGCTCAAAATCTATATCAGTAAAGGAAGAAAATTAATTTTATAGATTAAATGTAATTTAGAGAAATTAACTCAATTTAGAAGTATCAGGAAATATACTCAAATCATTCCATTTTATCTTTTAAGTCTCTTACTCATCAGGTTTTGATAACTTTTTGATGAGAGATAGTTATTTTCCCTTTTGAAAACTCTGAATGTTAGGGCAGGGCTATGGAAAAGGACGAGCATCGAGTTCCTGAGTTCAAGAACTGCAGGAGTTAGAAAGGTTGATGTCAGATCTTACCAAATAAGAAAGAAATGACCTCCTCCTCTGTGGACATCAATACAAAGAAGAAACACAACACAATTGGTGCAAAGTCAAACCAGACTAGAGTTCTGGGGTGAGTCCCACCTAAATTAATGTAAGAAGTTAAAAAGTATAAAGGAAGTATTTTTCAACCTGATTAAATGATAATAACTTTTAATAGAGGCTTATCTTACTTTTTTGAAACTACATTAATATGAACTCTTCCAATTCAGAACAGGTTTCTTCATGCATGGTGATTTAAGTTATCTTTATATTCTAGAAAAAAATGGGGTTTTTTTGTTTTTTTTTTTTGGTATTAGGGATTAAACCCAGGACTCTTAAATACTGAGTGATATCCTCAGCCCCTTTTGAGACAAGGACTCTAAGTTGCTTGGGGCCTCGTTAAGTTTCTGAGGCTGGCTGGGAGATGTGGCTCATGCCTGTAATCCCAGCAATTCCAGAGGCTGAAGCAGGAGGATTGCGAGTTCAAAGCCAACTACTATCTCTAAATAAAATACAAAATAAGGCTGGGGATGTGGCTCAGTGGTTGAGTGCCTCTGAGTTCAATCCTCTAGTACCCCCCACCCCGCCACAAAAAGGTGCTGAGGCTGGCTTTGAACTTGTTATCCTCCTGCCTCAGCCTCCAGAGATGTTGGGATTACAGGTGTGTGCCACCAAAATGGCAAGAGAAATTCTCCTCATTCTAAGCACTTCAGAATATTAGAAATGACAAGTTCCTAAGGCTCAAGTAGAATTTTCCAAATCTTTCCCATAAATTTGATCCAAATTTTTTAGAAAAAAAACATATCACTGGCTTAGAGGTGTACAAATGCTTTTATGTCTGAAATAACAACAAAAATGATAGATTTCAGTAACTACAGATCAGTCTATAATTACAGACCAGACTGACATTATTCCCAGAGAAAATAAAAAGTGCTTGAATCAATTATGAAACACACAAGGTGATGACTAGAAATCAATAAATATTCACTGAGAATGAGTGACAGAAAATCAAGTGATTGCATTTTTACAGACTAGTATTTGTTTATAGACTGCTATGGGGGAATGATAAAGCTTAGATGTTTCTATATCCTCACAAAGGATTTAACAGTTTGATTCCTTCCTTGTAGATAATGTTATATGAGATAAACCAAATAGTTCACTGAATTCTTTACTAGATGAATAATTACTAAAAAAAGAAAAATGTTGATTATAAAGTCAACAGGACCTGCTTGAGAACTCTGTACTTTGCCTTGTTTGATTTAATGCTTTTATTGTAATGTGAGTGAAGACAAGATGACATCTCTTAAAAGCTGAGAAGTACAAGCTAACATAATCTAAGGTAGAATTAAGATTCAACGCAGGTTACTTGAGAAATTGCCAACCCTAGCTACACATGAGAATCATCTGGGAAGCTTGATAAACTACTGGTGCTCAGACCCCCATCCCAGAGACCCAGATTCAGTTGATCTGAGATAGGGCTCAGCTGTAGTTTGTTTTTATAGCCTTCTTGGGGAATTTAATGTGTAGCCAGAAGATAATACATTAAGGTTTGAATATTGAAGTGTTTGAATACGGAAACAGAAGAATGTGGGTTGCAAGCAATTCACCTACAAATAACTTGGTAGGGTTTAAACAATAAATTACAAGTAATGAAACTCACTGGTAAGATACAAGCACTACATAGAGCCAATTCTCAAGCTACAATAAAGAAGTAGAAGTTCAAGGAAGAGAAAAACATTCTATCTGTCCTGTTTCTCTATACCCTACATCTATCTCAATGGGTTCCACAAATCGGATACTGGGCAGACACAGGATGAATGCATAAAGTTAACATCATGTTGTTAAAGAAAACTCTTTAAATAATTATCACATACACCATTCCACCTGACACACAATTATCGAAGATGCAGAGGTCAACTAGCATCTCCCTTGGGTAAGCAAGCAGGGAATATTTCAAGGCAGATATTCCATTATTGGTTCACTCTCATAGTCTACCGGAACATGAAACAAATGCACTCCTGCCACACAAGTTCTTCAAATCATCACATTCCTCCATCTTCTCTTCTCCAAACAGTACATGCCTTCCAAGTGCTCCTCACAAGGTCAGTTTTCAACTTCTCATCAGTATTTCTCAATGGGGCATTGGGGAGAAGGAGAAGGAGAAGGAGAAGGAGAATTATTCACTGTGCTGAACTGTCCTACTCTCCATAGGATATTTATCATCTCGTGCCTCTGGGGCACTGCATGATAACAACACTTCAATTACTATGACCATTAAAAACTATTCCACATATTTCTAAATACCGACTTCTCCTTAGGTAGTGAGTGTTCCAATGCTTTATATCCACTCCATTACACTTTTTTAAAAAATTTCTTTAGTTGTAGATGGACACAATATCTTTGTTTTTTTAAATTTATTTTTATGTGGTGCTGAGGATCGAACCCAGTCCTCACACATGCTAGGCAAGTGCTCCACCACTGAGCTATAACCCCAGCCCCGTCCATTACACGTTTAATCCACCATTTCTATAGCAGCACAGTTCACTATAACAAACACCAGTCACAAATGACCATAAATTTAACTAAATTAAATTTTGCACTAGCCACATTTCAAGAGCTCGACAGCCACATGTAACTAATGGCTACTGTACTGAATAATGAGGGTATAAAATTTTTCCATCATAACAGAAAATTCTGTTGCAAGTGCTGTATCTAGAACCTATATAGAGTTTTAATTGTTTACCAGGCTTCAATTCTTAATTTGGCTTTCTTACTTAATACTTCTCTATCTTGTGGATTTGGATAAGAAAAGGTTGCAAGGCTACAGGGATACTAATTGATAGAGTTAATAAAGAGGCACTTCTCATTTTAAGATTTATTATTATATATATTTGTATATAAATATTTATTGAATAAAAGTTTTAACTAAAATTACAAAAAATTACAAACCTATTGATGAAGATTCTTTTTCTTCCAGAGAGCTAACGTTGTCAGAAGATGAACTCTGATCATCATTACTTCCTGAGGAATGATGTGCTCCATCTTCTTCATCTGTTGAAAGATCAGCTGTTCTGGATTCTAACAGGACATTTTTTTAATACACACACACAAAAATAAAAATATGGGAATCAACAATTAACACAGCATTTTAATCCTATTCCATTTATTTAAAGCAGACATACAAATCTTTCTCTACCTTCCAGTCTTTCTGAAACAAATGAATGATCTAACAAATATACAAAGACTTACCCTACTTGCATTATCTATACATTTAATATTTCTAAAAGGACACAATGAGAAGAGGGACAGGAACATTGAAGGAAAATAAAAGGACAAAAATTAAAGTAATATTTTGAACAGAAAAACAGTGGTTGTAAATAGAAAGACAAAAATATCATTTACTATGTGCTAGACACACTGAAACCTGTTTCACATGATTTAATATTCATAATTCTATAAGGTAAATGCTATTATCGGTGAGAGTACTAAGGAATGGAGAAAAGGCAACTCTTATCCTCAATTCTCCCTACAAGTTTAACCATATTTTAGGGTACAAATTAAAAAAAGGTCATCAAAACTTTAGATAAGAAGGTCATAACAATGACTAAGATCATGAAACTGAAAGACATTATGTTAAGTGAAATAAGCCAAACACAAAAAAGACAAATGTGGCAATACCTCACTTATATGTGGAATCTAAATGTTGACTAGAAATCATAGAAGATTAGAACATAGTAGATACATAATTTTATCTTATTAATTTTGAGGTACTAGGGTTTATACCTAGGAGTACTCTACCATTGAGTTACATTCCAAACCTTTTTAAAAATATGATATAGAGTTTCACTAAATTGTCCAGGCTGGCTTCAAATTTACAATCCTCCTACCTCAGTCTCCCCAGTAACTGGGATTACAGGCATGAGCCACCTTGTTCAGCTCAAAGGATACAAAATTTTAGTTAGAAGTATAAGTTTAACAGATCTACTGTACAAGATGGTAATTATAATAATTTGTACTGCAACATACTGTATACTGTACTTGAAACTGCTGAGAAATTTTAAGTGTTCTCACCATAAAAAAAAGGGATAATGCATAAGTTAATTAGGTCAGTTTAGCCATCCCACAGCATATACATATTTCAAATCATGTTGTATACCATAAGCTTGTATAACTTTTCTTTGTAAATAAATAAGTACATACAAAATCACTAAGATCACTTTAATGGGACTAACAATAGTGGGGAGAAAATTCTGGGTCCCCAAACTGTATTCCTTGTTAAACTCTAAACTTAGACCAATACATTTTATGTAAAAATTATAAAGATGCTGGAAACTGTTATTTAAGAACTCAAGCCAGACGGTGGCACACATCTGTAATCTCAGCTACTCTGGAGGCTGAGGCAGGAGGATTGCAGGTTCAGGCCAGCCTGGGGAATTTAGAGAGACCCTGTTTCAAAAACAAATACCTAGATAAATTAATTTTTAAAACGTGGGGAGAGGATCATGTAGCTCACTGGTAAAGTCTGCCTATGCACCAGCACCCGAGATAGAACCCCTGTAAGTGAAAGATAAATACAATGTAGTCATTTTGAATTAATACCATTACTGGTACAGTCCAGTGTTATCAATTTCTTTATGATAGTCACATATATTACTTTTAATCTGTTTTTGTAAATAACTGATGACAGACGAAGACAAGCAAGAGACAATGTTTCAAACCTTGTCACTTGATTATTTTAATGTGCTGTTTTTAAATATCCTTTAAAAAAACAAGTGAGCAAGTTTCCAAAAGGTACATACAACTTCTACCTAACAGCATTAGGATTTAACTCCTTTGGGACGATTTGTATTCTTCATAAACATTAATAACTGTATCATAGCTGTAAATGGGGAGGGTCATCTGATAGTGCAAAGAGGAACCACTAAAATGTACAAGATTTCTTTTAAACGTCCCTCCCAAGGAGCCAGGTACCTAGATGCAGGCAGTGGGCTTGCGCTGGAAGGGAGGCGACTCAAGAGTGGCTGCTGGTCAGCAGTAGGTCCTAGGAACCTCTAGAGAAGACCCCGCGGCCTCTTCCCTCCCCTCGCGTCACCTCGGGAGCCCACAGTTTCCCCCGCTCTTCACCTTGGCCCCCTGAGCTGTCAGCGCGAGGAGCGACTCCGGGGGCGCGCCGGGAACTCGCCCAGACCCGACCCCGGCCCCGAGGACCTCGGGTCCGGCGGGGCAGTTCCGCCACCTCCGCGCGGGCTCCTCCGGAGGGCGGGCCTTCCTCCTGCGGGCCCGGGGCCGTCCGCTCCCTGGGCGCCCCGGATTCAGCTGACGGATCCTCGGCGTCATCGCTATCGCTGGACTGAGCTTGGCGCTGCCGGAAAGTCCGTTTGGGCCTGTGAGCCATACTCGAGGCCCGATCTCCGCGCGCACATTCACTTTCCGTTCACGCCAAATTGGGTTTTTGACGTCCACGGCGGTGCGCGCTCCCGCATCTCCGGCTGCCCCGAGCGCGCGTCCGCGCCGCCAGTCAACTCGCGCTTCGCTCTACGCATGCGTAGTGTGCTGGCGTAGGTCTGCGCGACGAACCCGGCAGGCTCAGCCGCAGGGTTCCCCAGGCCAAACCTGGGTGTGCGATCTGTCGACCGGAGATTCCCGCAGCCTCTCAGGCTTGAGTTCCGAAAAGAGCAGCCTCACGTGCTCTCCCTGTGCAGGTCCCATCCAGGAACCAGGCACTGTACTAGCCGTCTTGGACTGCAGTGGGGTCCTTGTCTTTTTCCAGAGAAAGCTCTCTGAACCAAGATTTAAAAACCGGCAAGAGTGCATGTGTTGGACTGGGAGATGCCAGTGAAAGCTAAGCAGCGAACTCTTCACATTAAAAATAAGTTCACAGCAATCATAATGCAATTGATTCAAATGTATGAATTGCCAAGATCATTGTAATGTCATGTGTAGCTAATAAAAAAAAATCCAGAGCTAATTTGACCAAAAAATATAAATAAATATAATAAGTACACAGAGAAGCAAACAGCAAACATGATTGCTTTTAAGTGAAGGGACTTCAAAATAAAGGGTGTATCCTTTAAAAAAAAAAATGCATCACTCAGATGAACAAAGATAAACTGTTGAGGCAAATTTGTGATAACAGAGATGATACTTGAGATGTCTTACCAGAAATTGTGTTGTGTCCTCGGCTCTTGTATGAGAGGACTTCAAGCAGTACACAAAACTTAGTAAAAGTATAGCAAAGTTTATTAGAAGGGACAGAAGAAGGGGAAAGACGTTGTTGGGGCAGGCCCCAAATGGCTGTAGTTAAGCTCCTTCCCCAAGGCTTCTCGTGTGCTGTTATGGTTTTAGTGTGTAGCCAGGGCTGGGACCTGGCTATGCTGTAGTTAGCAAGGCCAGAAACACTCTAATTCAGTGTATATACTCAAGATCAAACATTAACTTGTGGGCATGAGCCCCCTTATGTAATCTGTTGGCCTTGTGCCTTCTTTGTTTGGCCTGCATATAAAAAGGGCCTATGGAAAAGACGTGGGGGCCAATGGGGACAAATGGGGGCAAAATGAGGTTTAAAATGGAACTGACTGGGAGCTGGAGCGGAAGCTGGAGACTGGAGGCTGTGGCCACCACTGAATAAAGCATGTCTATTGTCCTAAGTACATCTTGCATCTTCTTTCAACAGGCCTGAACCTTGTTTCCTGGGTCAGAGCCCCTTAACGACAGAGATTGTTAAACCAAGAGTGGTAGTTTTGTGGATTGGTTTCTGTGTCCTCTATTCTGTACCATTGGTCCACCCGCCTGTTTTGGTACCAGTACCATGCTGTTTTTGTTACTATTGCTCTGTAGTATAGTTTGAAGTCTGGTATCGCTATACCGCCTGATTCACACTTCCTGCTTAGCATTGTTTTTGCTATTCTGGGTCTTTTGTTTTTCCATATGAATTTCATGATTGCTTTCTCTATTCCTACAAGAAATGCCGTTGGGATTTTGAGAGTTATACAAAAGTACATACAAGAGGAAGTGAGGGGAAGGGGAAAAATAATATAAGGGGGACAAACGAATGTCAGTAGAGGGAGCAGAGAGAGAAGAGGGGAGGGGAGGGGAGGGGAGGGGAGGGGAGGGGAGGGGAGGGGGGATAGTAGAGGATAGGAAAGGCAGCAGAATACAACAGACACTAGTATGGCAATATGTAAATCAATGGATGTGTAACTGATGTGATTCTGCAATCTGTATATGGGGTAAAAATGGGAGCTCATAACCCACTTGAATCAAATTGTGAAATATGATATATCAAGAACTATGTAATGTTTTGAACAGCCAACAATAAAAAATTAAAAAAAAAAAAAAAAAAAAAAAAAACAAGAGTGGGCCTACCAAGAGGAGACAACTCACTTCTTTGTGAGCTCAATTTATTGGGGTAGGAGAGGGGGTTTCTGGAGAATCTTGTCAAAGCACTACCTCTTAACTTTTGAAGATGGTAGAATTGTACCCAATTTTTAGGAGTCCCTACTGTGCATCTTTCCATCTAAGGGCAACTCTTGGTAATTTCAGCCTCTAAGCTTCCATATTTTTGCTGTGACTGTTCTGATTAAGGACGCTGCCATTCATGCTACCTTTTCCCAACATTGTGTTTCTCCAGCTGCTGCCTCTGTTCAAAAACCTTCCACAGTCATCCAACATTTTGTTATTAGAATAAGAAAGTAAATTACTGTAATGTTTGCTTTACAATCATCTTGCAAATCAGGTGGTTTCCATGTCTTACTTTGAACAAAATCAGAGCACCAAACCCAAGGGCTTGCTGCTGAGGCTTACTGAAGACAATTCAAAGGAACAGGGTTTTTGCAAAAAGAAAAAGCTTTATTGTAGAGCTAACCATCAAGTAGGTCAGGAAAGAAACTCAGATCTGCCTCTGCATGGGGTTGGGGTAGGAGGAGAAGCTGTTTGATGACTGGATTATGAGAAGAGGGAGTTTTAGGTTTCTTTTGCATAGGCTGGCCTCTTATCATGGGCTTGATAGGTCTTAGTTGATTTCATTAGCTGACCATACTAAATTTGATGATGGATTACTGAGACTTTGCATGTAATTCAGAAGAAATTTCCACCACCTCTTAAGAGTGCCACCATGGGCTGGGGATGTGGCTCAAGCGGTAGTGCGCTCGCCTGGCATGCGTGCTGCCCGGGTTCGATCCTCAGCACCACATACAAAGATGTTGTGTCCGCCGAGAACTAAAAAATAAACATTAAAAAAAAAATTCTCTAAAAAAAACAAAACAAAACAAAAAGAGTGCCACCAGCTGGAGTCCAAGCCTCTTACACATGGCCCTTTGGGGACATTCCATTTTCAAACTTCAGCAGGGATTATGGCCCAAACCCCTAGAAACTACCTGGGAATCATGTGAACATAGAGATGCTGATTAAGCTGTTCTGTGAAAGGACCTGAGATTCTTCATTTCTAACAAGCTTTTGGGGAAGCCAAAGGCTGTTTCTTGGGGGCCACACTTTAAATAACAAGATCTTACAGCCCGTACTAAGAAAAATGATTCACTCTTAAGAAGCAATGTTATGGTTTGGATGTGAGGTGTCCCCAAAAAGCTCATGTGTGAGACAATACAAGAAGATTCAGAGGAGAAATGTGAGAGTCTTAACCTAACCAGTGATTTAATCCCTGATGGGATTAACTGGGTGGTAACTGGAGGCAGGTAGGGTGTGGATGGAGGAGGTGATTAATTGGGGGCGTGGCTATGGGGTATATATTTTGTATCTGGCAAGCGGAGATCTTCTCTCTCTCTGCTTTCTGATTGTGATATGAGCTAGGCAGCTCTGTCACACTCTCCTTCCATGATGTTCTTCCTCAACTCAAGCCCTGAGGAATGGAGCTGGCCTTCTATGGACTAAGAGCTCTGAAATCGTGAGCCCTCAAATAAACTTTTCCTCCCCTAAAATTGTTCTGGTCAGATCTTTTAGTCACAGCAATGAAATAGCTGACTAAAACAAGTTTTTAAAAAGTTTAATATAAAATTGTAATAACACGTAAATGCCATTATGTACTTCAAAATTTGGAAACTAAGTAGTCCTTAAAAAGGAAAACTAATAGGAACCTATTCACAGTGATTGAGGTTATCTAAGGATGGCAGTTATCCATCGTATCTCCAGAATGGTTCACCACCAGTCTCCAAAATCACTTCAGGTGTTTATCTCAGTTTGAAAGCTGGTCAGTAGGACAGAATGCACTCCCAGTCTTGCTTAAAAAACAAAAAACCCAAACAGTTTATTTAAGGATAGTCTACATGTGATGTTGAAGTTCCAGAAAGCTGTGATTTCTCTTCAAAAGTAACCAAATCATGAACATGTCCAATGTGAAAACACTAGGCAGAATTCAATGATTTGGGGGAAAGTGAGCTAGAAACTTAACTTTCTGTTGTAAAATAAACTGATTCCCCAGACAAGGCTCTTCTCTTATTCATCTTGATGTCTCCATTTCTGATCTAGAGCACAGAATGCATTGAATTAATGAGAATACAATGAATTAAATGTTGAGGATGGGGTGAGTCCGAAACATCTGTGTTCAATCACAATAATGAAACTTGAAAACAAATCATTATAACTTGTTAGATGCAAATATGCCAAAAGACAGGTGAATGGACTAGAATGTAGCTGTGTGATACAGCACTTGCCTAGTATGCCCAAGGCCCTGGGTTTGATCCCCAACACAGAAAAAAATAGAGCATGCATGAGTGAAAGAAGTGATATACTACTGAGATAGATAGAAAACTCTCTGCTATTTAAAACATCAACCAAATATTTGTTCTAAGGAAAAGAAGAATTGAGTTTCTCTAGGTGCTTGTATGGGAGAGGATCAAATAGAGAGAAATTATTTAATAAACAATAAATTATTTAATAAACAAGTAGGAATCCTGAGTTTTCTTCTCTGTTCCTAGGAAAAGCATACTGAAGGCTATGGGGAACTATATATATATATATATATATATATATATATATATATATATACACACACACACAATTACAGGATGCCAAATAATTTCAGATAAGGAAATAATTTTTTACTGTAAGTATATCCCATACAATATATGGGGTATACTTGTGTGAGATATTTTAGATCCCTAGTCTAGGTGAAAGAGAGATATGCAGAATGTAAAATGGTAGAGAAAGACTTCAGAATCTGGAGTGGAGGGTGGGGTTGGCTGTGGTTCTGGATCCTGTGGAGAAATGTTGGTCAGTGAAAAGTTCCGAGTTACAGAGAGTGAGGGGATTAGGGGGTTTTAAGATATGGTGGTATTTTCTTCTAAGTCACTAAAAAAACTATACTCCATACACAGTCTTAACACTGCTAGAAATGAAGGGTTTAGTGGCTGAGGTTAGGGTGGTAGATATGGAAGGGCTGATGGCTCCATAGTTTTTGAGCCTTGAATGTCAAAGGAGATAAAGTGGATCACAGGTGAGAAGCAGACACCGAACACATTGGCTTGACCCATTTCTCAAATGTACCAAACAAAAAAGCCAGTACTT